AAATTTGTACTGAATCAGAAAAGACCCCGAATAGCCAAAGCAATCTTATAAAGGAAAAGTAAAGCTGGAAGCATCACAATTCCAGACTTCAAGTTATATTACAAACCTATAGTGATCAAAACAGTATAGTACTGGCACAAAAACAGACACATAAATCAATGGAACAAAATAGAAAATGCAGAAATTGGGACGCCTGAGTGGCTCAGTGGTTGAGCATCTGCCTTCGGCTCAGAGGGGGATCCCAGAGCTCCGGGATTGGGTCCCGCATAGGGCTCCTTGCATGGACCCTGTTTCTCCCTCTGCCTGTGTCTCTGCCTCTCTCTCTGTGTCTCTCATGAATAAATAAAATCTTAAAAAAAAAAAGAAATGGGAAAATGGACCCACAATTATATGGTCAAGTAATCTTTGACAAAGCAGGAAAAAATATCCAATGGAAAATAGTCTCTTCAACAAATGGTATTGTGAAAACTGGACTGCAACATGCAAAAAAAGAATGAAATGGGACTTTTTTACACCTTACACAAAAGGAAATTCAAAATGTAATAAAGACCTAAACGTGAGACGGGAAACCATCAAAATCCTAGAGGAGAACACTGGCAGTAACCTCTCTGGCATTGGCTGTAGCAACTTCTTACCAGGTATGTGTCCTGAAGCAAGGGAAAACAAAAACAAAAGTAAACTATTGGGACTTCATCAAGATAAAAAGCTTCTGCACAGTGAAGGATACAATCAACAAAACTAAAAGGCAACCTTCAAAATGGGAGAAGATATTTACAAATGGCATATCTGATAAAGGGCTAGTATCCAAAATCTATAAAGAACTTACAGAACTCGGGACACCTGGGTGGTTCAGCAGTTGGGTGTCCACCTTCGCTCAGGGTGTAATCCCCATTCGGGGATGGAATCCCACATCAGGCTCCCTGTGAGGAGCCTGCTTCTCCCTCTGTCTGTGTCTCTACCTCTCTCTATGTCTCTCATAAATAAATAAATAAAATCTAAAAAAAAAAAAAACTTATAGAACTCAACACCAAAAAAAACAAGTAATTCAGTTAAAAAATGGGCAACAGACACGAAGAGACATTTCTCCAAAGAAGACATCGAGATGGCTAACAGACACATGAAAAGATGCTCAACATCACTCATCATTAGAGAAACACAAATCAAAAGTACAATAAGATAACAGCTCACACCTGTCAGAATGGCTAAGATTAATAGCACAGGAGACAACAGATGTTGGTGAGGACACAGAGAAAGGGGAATCCTCTTACACTTTTAGTGGTGCAGGTACTCTGGAAAAGACTGGAGATTCCTCAAAAAGTTAAAAATAGTACTATCCTGCAAACCAGCAACTGAACTACAGGTATTTACCCCAAAGGACACAAAAATACTGATTTGAAGGTATACACGTAATGTTTATAGCAGCATTATCAACTATAGACAAATTATGGAAAGAGCCCAAATGTCCATCCACTAATGAATGGATAAAGAAGTGTTATATATACACAATGGAATATTACCCATAAAAAAGAATGAAATCTTGCCATTTGCAAGGACATGGATGGAGCTAGGGAGAATTATGGTAAACAAAATAAGTCAGAGAAAGATAAATACCATGTAATTTCATTCATATATGGAATTTAAGAAATGTAACAGATGAACACAGGGGGAAAAAGAGAGGCAAAACATAAAACAGACTCTTAATTATAAAGAACATACCGAGGGTTGCTGGAGAGGAGGTGGGTAGGAAGATGGGTATTAAGGAAGGCACATGTTGTAATAAGCACTGGGTGTTGTATATAAGTGATGAATCATTAAATCCTACACCTGAGGGGCGTCTGGGTGGCTCAGTGGTTGAGTGTCTGACTTTGGCCCAGGTGGCGATCCTGGGGGCCTGGAATCAAATCCAGCATCAGGCTTCCTGTGGGGAGCCTGCTTCTCCCTCTTTCTCTGTCTCTGCCTCTGTGTGTCTCTCATGAATTAATAAATAAAATCTTAGAAAAAAAATGTTATGACCTTGAGTCATGCAAGAATTTCTTTGGTATGACACCAAAAGCACAATCTTTAAAAATGATAAATTTTACTTCAAAAAATATAAAAATTCTGTTGTTTAGTACTCTAATGAGAATGAAAAAACAAGCCAAAGACTTATGCTACAATATTCGTAATTCACACATCTGATAAAGGACTTTGTGTCCATTCTTTGTAGAGAAATCTCAAACTCACTGACAAGAAAACAACCCAATTAAAAAATAGACAAATTATTAGAACATTTCATAAAGAAGTCATACAAATAGCAAATAAGCTCTTGAAAAGACAATATACATCATTAGTCTTCAGGGAAATGCAAATTAAAACCACACTGACAAACCAGTACATACCTATTAGAATGGCAAAAATTTTTTAAAAAAGCACTGACTATATTAAATGTTGTTGATAATGTAGAGAAATTAGAACTCTCATACACTGCTGTTAGGATATGAAATGGTACAATCTCTTTGGGAAAGTTTTGTACTTTCTTATAATGTTAAGTACACACCTACCATATGTTCCAGTCACTCCTCTCCTGGATATCTACTCCAAACTAAAGAATGTATATATCTGAAGACTTTTATATAAATGTTCATAGTTGTGTTATTTGTCTAAGTGATCCCTAAAACTGGAAATAATCCAAATGGCCAATAAGAGTTCAACAGACCACAAATTGTGGTATATTCATACAATGAAATACTACTCAGCAATAAAAAGTAATGACCTATTTATATATGCAAGAACATTTTCAGTGAGTCTTTAAAACAATTTATACTGGGCAGCCCCGGTGGTGCAGCGGTTTAGCGCCACCTGCAGCCCAGGGTGTGATCCTGGAGACCGAGGATCGAGTCCCACATCGGGCTCCCTGCATGGAGCCTGCTTCTCCTGCCTGTCTCTCTGCCTCTCTCTCTCTCTCTCTCTGAATGAATAAATAAATAAAATCTTAAAAAAAATTATACTGAGTGTAAAAAGGCAGAAAATAATCATACATATTCTATCATTCCATTTATATACAATTCTAGATAGAAAATACAAACTAAACTATATTAACAGAAAGCAGATTAATGGTTATCTTGGGAAGAAAGGATTGCAAAGGGACACAAGGAAAGTTTTGACGGTAAAGAACATGCAGATTATCTTGACTATGGTGATGATTTCATAGTGTATGCATGTCAAAAAACACCTTATCTATATGAACTTTACTGAATGTCAATTATACCTCAAAAAAACTATTAAATACAAAAAAATCTTAAAATGAAAAAATTGACTCTATTTACCATTTCTAAGTCAGGGAAAAAACAAACTGAAGCTAACAATTAAACTCTTCCACCACTGGCAGCAGCTGGGGAGTTTTGAAAATGGGAGTCGATAACTGGTCCTTCCATAGTTCCTTTTATGATAAGCATGGTGGGGCACTAATCCTTCTCTAAAACAAGCTAAGGAGAGATTAGAGTATGCTAAGTAGGAGAGTTTTCATAAGACCTTCCTCATTAATCCTCCATGCCCACTGTACCAAGAAGGTCTGGAGTATGCTACAATGCCTTTTTTTTTCCATGTAAACAAACAGAAATAGAGAATATCCAAGTTAGAGGAAATGTTCTGAAGTTAGACCATAGGAGTTCACAGCTTGGCTGCACTGTTTATTAAAGATGTGACCTTGGACAAATTCCCTACTTTCTTTGTGCCTCAGTTTCCTCATTTGTAAAATGTGCATTCATTCAATGAATGTTTATTGAAAATGCCCCCCAAAAAACTCTTAAAAATGGTCATCAAGAGGTCAATAGACCACAAATTGTGATATATTCATACAATGAAATACTACTCAGCAATAAAAAGTAATGACCTATTTATATATGCAAGAACATTTTCAGTGAGAAAAATGTATATAATACAATCACAACTAGAAAATAAACCTTCCTAATTTTTGTTTTCTCAATAAGAGATTAAGAGGACAAAAAAAGAAAGAACTAACATAAAAATGTTTAAGAGTTAAAATTTTAAAACACCATGTCAAGTATAGAGATGTAGTTAGAAAAGAATAGTGTGTAGTTTATAAATTACACTATAATTCAACTGATTCTCTCTATATATATTGTATTTATTCACTTGAGGAAAGAGGTCAAAGTGGAATCTGTAGATCAGATTACGATGACACAGGTAAAAAGAGCTAATCAAGTACAATTCTATAATAAATGTATCAAATCAACACACTGTACACCAAACTTATACAACGTTATGTGTTAATTATATCTCAATAAAAATAAATTTTTAAAAATAAAAGAGGAAAAAAGCACAACTATATTGTGATCTCCTAACAACACTACGACCTCTCAATAGTCAATCATCTTGATGTTAGGCCTATTATGTTTTCTTAAAAAAGCAATATTTTAATTATTCGTATTCTTACACATTTATAATGTTGCTTTGTTAGTTTTCCAGTACTGTAATTATTATGTGAAACATAAGCCAATTCCTACAAGTTTTAGACAAAGTTTGTCTCATGAGATATTACCATAATATGTTACTAAGATTTCCAATTTGGCATTTAAAATATAATTAACACTGAATGCAAATCTTCAATCTGAGTCTACCCATGGATTTACAAAGGAGTCCAAATGTCTTTCAGCAGGAAAAAATGAAAGTAGCAACTGCATCATGATAAGGTTTTAATATAGCCATTAGGTCATGTTTATTCAGTGATATGGAATGAATGAATGAATACAGTTTATTCAGTATGATTATGGAATTTTTCCATATATGTACCTATTTTATAAATCACTTTAAAAGCAGCTTGAAAACATTCATTAGACAATTGCTATGACTAAAGCTAGAACTCAGTAAAAGGTACTAAGGGAAGGTATTGATTTTCATGTTCAGAAAGCATTATTCATTCTGATTGTGAAGAGGAACCCCAGTATGCACATAATAAATTAATATTTAAATGATCATTTTGTTAGAAAAATAACAGTTACCTGTGATACACCCAACTTTTTACAAGCATCAAGAAAATTTTCTACATTTCTTCGACATTTTGCCATGCTCAGTTTAGGCTGTAAAGTAAGAGGAAAAAGGCATTTTTCAGGCATATTTATACAGAAATTTATCAATACTAAAAATTAAATTTATTGAGGTATATTATTTAAAAACAGTTCCAAGAAGCTCTACCTCCCTTTAGAAAACTAACAAATTAAAAAAAAAAGAAAGAAAAGAAAACTAACAAATTGTAGACAAAACTTACCACTGCTGGTGATGGCACATGAATACTAGCTACAGAGCGTGGCCTTATGTGATTGGCTAAATGGCAAAGAACAACTCCATCCATCAGCGCAGCTCCAATGTCATCAGGCAAAATTACTTTTAACCTGGATTCAAGATTCTATAAAGAAATGGATATAAATCACAGATATCCTATAAATAGATATGCTACATATTTATATTACTAATCATTATATAATTCAAACTTTTAAAAAGCTTTGCAAATAAAATGCAGATACTTTGCTAATTTTCCAAGTTAAACCCATTTCACAAAGCAGATCTGTAAGGTCAAGCTCACTTACATTCCGAAGTTGTCGTATTTGTTCTCGTTCTTCCCGTAGATGTTCCATCTTTCTTCTCATTGTAAATCCAGGATCTGCTGCCCCATATTCCTGACGAGATGAGCGGCTAAAAGCTATAAAAAGAGAAAGTTCCTAGCTTATCACAAGGCTAATAGGAAGACTCAACCAGTGGTGGGAAAAGAAGCATGATAATGAAGAATCAGTACAAAACTACATAAAACACTATTACTTATTAATACATTCTAAATATTTTTTCATAGATTATAATTGGAATCTACTTATCTGCACAATTGAAAGCAACAGGGAAGACAAGTGTAACGATTTCTACCACCTACACATGTTCTTATTTAAACATACTAGTTATTAAAAACTTATGATCCAGGTTAAAAATTATTATTGAACATAAATCTGCCTTTATTATATTTAAAGAAAAAGGAAATTATTCTTGAAGGTCAATACAGTTATTCAGGAATAAAAACTATAATTCAATACCTTGCCAAGTAACATGGATCCATTTTCTTTTGGGCTTGCCAAATGCGAAAAGATCCCTTTTTAAAACCACAATATAATGGAGTGCTACAATTTCAAACAGTATTTGGTCTGCTGGCAGAGTGGTCATTCTAATAGCAGTCACAGTAGAGTGGAAATAAGACTGCAGTATATCTAAGGCAAAAAGCTGAGGTTTCAGGAGCTTGAAGGTAAAGAGGAAGAAAGAAATGGGGAACGGGAATTGGAAAGACAAATAAGGTTAAGAGAAAATTACTTTTAAGAGAGGGGAAAGAATCTATGTGTACTTAAAACTACGGAATCAATCCCACTTAAGCTGGAAAACGCTAATTTCATATATAACCAAAAAAATTTAGTTGCAGAATATGCACTTACCTGATCTAGGCTTCAAGCCAAAAGGACCATGTGAAAAACCATCAGTTCTATCATATTCCTAAAAAAAAAGAAAAGAAAAGAAATAAAACCACTTTTCTTTCAAAATAGTCAAGACAGTTATTTATATCCATTCCAACTTTAGATGTATTTATTTGTTTCCATGATTGGTGGAGTACAGAAAGGCAAACTGTATTTCAATTCAAATTGATACATTTCACTTTTAAAAAGTCTACAAATATTTGCTAATTGATCTGACTACATAAGCTTGCAAATACTTCCCTCTCCTAGTGTAAGGAAAAATAAAAATTACTGAATTACATAAAATAAATAGGTATTATTTTTTGAATGAAGAACCAGATTAAAGCCTCCACAAAAATTAAATAAGCTTCAATGAAAAATAAATGGTTAGCAATATTTACTCATTATCTACTAATGACTTGACATTTAGTAGATAATCTGAGACAAATCTGCATATTCACACTAATAGGGGATGATAGCTGATACTAATAAATGATAAATTATCATCTCTTCTATTTGAATATACATTGTTTCAAAGTGCTTTCACACAGTGGTGTGCTGCTGAAAGAATTGGTATATTTTAAAAATCTGAGCTTGGAGTTAGAAAGCTTAGGCTAACTCTTGAGCAAAACATTTAATTTCTGTGACTATTTCTTCATACTTAAAATGGGGTGTTTGTTGTGAAGTAACTGAGATAACTAAAAGCACTTTGGAAATTGGGCTTGCCAAAGGCAAAAAGATCCCTTTCATAATTTCAGCAGTACCTTATTTAACATTTGCAATAGCTGTGAAGCAGCTGGCTTCAGTCACTTGTCTACCATTCACTGACTGGAGTCAATAAATGATTGAGATTTACTGATTGGGAAATGTTCCAATCTCTTTAGCTTGGTAAAGGTTACCAATCTCTTTAGCTACAAAATCATGAGGATAATACCCAGCTCATGGGACTACTTTAGGTTCAAGTGTATAGACAAGCACTTTGTTAATAGTATAGTACTAGGAATAGGGTGGCTCAGTTAGTTAAGTGTCTCTTGATTTAAGGTCAGGTCTTGATCTCAGGGTTTTGAGTTCAGGCCTCGTGTTGGGTTCCATGCTGGGCATAGAGACTACTTCAAAAAAAAGAGTGGCTCAGTCAGTTAAGCATCTGCCTTCAGTTCAGGTCATGACCCCAGGTCCTGGGACCAAGTCCTGCATAAGGCTCCCTGCAGAGCAGGGAGTCTGCTTCTCCTTCTGCCCTTCCCTTCTACTTGTCATCTCTCTCTTTCTCTCAAGTAAACAAATAAAATATTTTAAAAATTTTTTTTAATTAAAAAACAGTATAGTACTATACTAGGGGTGCCTGACTGGCTTAGTCAGTGGAGCATGAGACTCTTGATCTCAGGGTTGTGAGTTCAAGCTCCATGTTGTACATGGAGCCTACGGAAAAAAAATTTTTAATTAAATTTAAATTTAAAAAATAGTATAGTACTATACTGTTTTTTTTTAAGATTTTACTTATTTATTCATAAGAGACACAGAGAGAGGCAGAAACATAGGCAAAGGGAGAAGCAGGCTCCCCACAGGGAGCCCAATGCAGAACTCTATCCAGGGACACTGAGATCACACCCTGAGCTGAAGGTAAACGCTTCACCACTGAGCCATCGAGGTGTCCCTATACTAATTGATTCTATTTTTTTTTAATAATTGATTTTTACCATTTTCTTTCACAGACGAGATGGAAGTAATCAGAATTCTGTTGATTCTCTAAATCTTCTGCTGATTAACATGTTATATGCAGTTCCAGTTGAATGTTAGCTGAGCCACCAAAACACTTGTTCATCACCCTATCCACCCACAAGCTCACAGTTTATCTTCATTATATTGGTTAAAGCGTCATGAATTCCCCAAAACTTCACTTATCCAAATGTAAGCAAAATGTATTATAAAAGCAATATAATTTGAGAAAACTGGCACTAATACTCTCCCTATGAGCACAGATCATAAAATCATAAGGCAACCAGGGAACTAGTCACTTATATGCTTACATTTATTATAACTGAAAGTAAAAGAAAGGATTAACAAGAGCATGCAACAAAGACTAATTTTAGGATATCTTAATTTATATTGCTTTCTAAAAGAATGCAAACAATTTTACTTCTCATATAAATAATTTAGGAACATGTTTATAAAGCTAATATCCAAATCCATTTAAAACTTTCATAATGCAACTCATCCAAAACAATAAACAAATGATCCTGGCTTTTAAAAAAATTAACACTGCCTATATAAAATGAAATACCTATGTAATTAACTAAAGTTATATGGTGAATATGGATGATCCAAACATTTAGACAAAGTTCTGAATTCACCAAATGAATACAGAATTATTTATTACTAATGCCAACACACTTTTAGAACACTAAAGAAGGTAATATGAAATAGAAAAGATGCTGTTTCGAATTTTTAAAATTTATCTCTTGTTGTAAAGTAATCCATCTAACTAAATTAGAAGAATCAATCACCAGAGTATTTGGGTGAGATCTCACAAATGCGAACTTTCACCCACCCCTTCTCCCCATGTTCTCCCTTAGGTCTAAGATGCCAGTAAATGTGTACCCTTCTGTCGATAGGAACAACCCACCACAGGGAAGTTTCTCGTGGAAAAAGGAAGTTTCTCTTGCATTGCTTTCAGACCTAATTGGCTATGAGAAAAACCAAAGGCCATTGCACAATGCTGAAGTACTTCTTTCAAATTTAAAATTGCAAAGCCGTTCTTATCATTTATTTCAAAATACAGATGAATTATAAAACAAAAGAATTTATAAAGTGAAGTCTTCTCTATGTTCTATAGGAATTTTCCACTAAGTAATTCAGGTGATATTATTATTATGAATATTTGTACAAAAGATGGTGTTCTTAGAATTTTTTATACGCTAGATTTGTACAAATTAACCTACTGTGGATTTTTTAACATGGGTGAATAAATTATATTGTTTAAAAGAAAAAGAAAGATGAAGCTAGAGAGAAGAGACAAGGAAGAAACCTATGTAAACACATAAAAACAGAACTTGTACCTCAGATGATACTGGAGATTGTGGTGACATACTAGCATTATCACTGTCTTGCTAAAATAAAAAAATAAAAAGATGAAAGATGAAATTAAAATACAAATGATGATTTAGACATATAAAAGAAAAACCAAAAACTGTTTTGATCAACTGCTAAAGGAAGAATCTGGAAAATACTATCAACCACCTTGCCACTCAAAGTGTGGTCTGTGAACCAACAGCTTCAGCACCCTTTTGGAGTTGGTGAGAAATGCAGAATCTCAGGCCAACCCTACACCTGCTAAACCAGACTCTATACTTCAGTAAGGTCCCCAGGTGATTGATTCATAAGCACTTTAAGGTATTAGAAGCACTATCTATTCACATCAAATATTCCTATAAATCTATTTCCTTTAAAGAACACAAATGAAAAAAATCTTTCCATATTTCTTTTTTTTTCTTTCCGTATTTCTTAGGAGAGAGCCACATGTTAGGATTAATTCCTGATGGGAAATGCCAATGGGATGGTACAATCCCATTGACAGAGATACATGGAAGCATGCAAAAATTCCATCCCTCCAAGTAAGAACATTTTACCTGGGAAATTATGTGTATCTAATATAGGCTTAGAAATAATTAGAGAACTTAACTGCATAAAATAATATTAAATGATCCATGTTTTTTGAATGACTACTACCAACCAAATATAAAAATCTTCACATTTAACCTTGAATATGCATGCCACACAGGACATTCATTCAACATTCAATAAAAGATGATTGCTTACTATATGTCAACTCTGTGCTAGACAACAGTGGAGTATTCAAACTGAGTAAAATATCATCCACTCAAGGATCTCTCAGTCTAGGGGGAACACAGATTCATTTGTACAGATAATACAACCTTCTCAGTACAGTGTTAGAGCTATGTATGCATGATATATGATGAGGCACAGGTAAGGGGCACCTGGAGAAATGGTAGGAGTGAAAGGGCAAATTTCCTGAAAAAGTGAAAAACTGAGTAGTGTGTTTACCAGAAAGAGAAGGAAGGGAACAACATTCCAAGATGAGAGGACAAGGACAAAGGCACAGAAGCAAAAATGAAACGATGATGCAGAAAACCTTTGAGCAGTCCATATTGCTGGAGAGTACTGAAAAGCAAGAAAAAAACAGAACAGATCATGAGCTGAGGCTGATGTGCTAAGAAGGGGCCTGACCAGGAAGGATCAAGAATTTATCTTCTAAGTGACAGGACATAGTGAAGGTTTCTAAGCAAGGGGATGACCTCATCCCGTTTTTGTGTTCTTTGGAGTAATCATTGTGGCTTGCAGAGAGTACAATGGACTGGAGAAAGGGAAAAGAGCAAGGATGCTATTGTGGTGGTACAGGCAAAAAATGCTAAGGGCCCATGCCAGGGCAGAAATAGCAGAAATACAGGTGGAAAATGTATTCAAAATACTTCAGTATCAAAAAGAAAAGTTAGCTCTTTGGTAACAATAGATATTAAAGCAGGCAAGACCATAGTGGATATAAAACACAAAGGGACAGAGACAATAGCCAAGCTGAACCTCTAGCTCAGGGTTCAGCAAACATTTTCTGTGTGGTTCCATTTCCTAAAATTAAAGTTTTCAGAAGCCCTGCCAAGTACTCAATATCAAATTAACTACCAATCCCTCCAATCAAAAATACACAAAGCTTAAGTATTTATGGTGATGACACAGTGTCATTTCAAAAATGCTAGGCTGCTGCATAATTTTAAATGGTAAGGTAGAAAAATTTATAATAATGCACAAACTGTAGCAATCTAATATTTAAAAATGTTAAAACAGTACACAGAATTTACAGAAAAAGATTAATAAATGCCAAAAGAATCTCAACTGACTACGAAGTTGATTTAGTAAGACAGAAGATGAGAAAATGTAAAAGACAAATGTTAATAGAATTCTAAAACTGAACTATCAGAAATTCTGTTCAAAATAAAGGATATATGGAAACTAAATAATTAAATTAATAACTGCATGATGATACTCAGTTTTTATTATTAGAAAAAAAAACATGCATTAAATCACTAACAAGAAACTGACAGAGGTATTATATCTTACTCTGATGAACCAACTACATATGAAAAGTAAACATTTTAAATAATTGCTACTATGACCCTCTTTTCTCACCTCATCGTTTTCATTGCCACTTGAACTCTTCCTTGATGATTTATACTGAAAAATATTTAAAACATACACTTTATTTTTCTTTGAACATATGAATTCTCTACCAATAAATTATATGTGAGGTATATTCATATTTTGGCACTTTTATTAAATTATCTGATACTAACATTAATTATATAACCAGTTTAAACAATCCTACCACTTATTAATAGCTAATACATACAGGGCTTTCATGTGCAAGGCATCGTTCTATATATCTAGCAACATTTCCTTCCTGAGCCGATCCACTTCCCATTCACCTCAGGTTTCCTATCTGAAGGTTGTCTTAAACTCTTCAGTTTTCTTAATCCACTATATCCAAAACATCATTGTCAATTCTTTTTGTAATCTCTCTGACTTGCTTCTTTTGAATTCTTAAAACTACCAATTTATCCTAGGGCCCCATTACCTCCCACCTAGATGGTAATCGCCCCATTCAAAAATGCTATCTATTGTTAAGAAACCTACTGATTTCAGGTAAGAAAAACCATTACGTTAGGTATATATTTGACCATACAATAACAGTAATAGTGATAATAGCTAATACTTATATTAGTGATTACTATGTACCAGGCACTGACAAAAGTATGTTACACATATCAACCCATTTGATTGTCCTAAAACGCTAAAGTAAATATTATTATCTGCATTTTATACTGAGGCACCAAGGTCATATGCTTAAAATAAAAAATGCTACTATGTCAAAAAGCTTTGTTTTTACAATCAAGAATTACAGAAATACAGAATGACAACCACCAAAGTCCTCTAGGATTCTTATTTCTAACTCCTCCTCACCACAAATAATCCTGCAAATTAATGGTAGATTAAAACATTCAAAACACTATTTGCATCTCATGATTGATTCCCCTACTGAAAAACCTACTTTCAAATTATGTTCAACTTTCCTTGCCTGGCATTCAAAGTTCTATTTAATGGCCCCCTTTCTTATGCAGCATTATATTCCATAACTCTTGGAAAACTAGATCTATCTGATAGCTCAACCACAGATTGGAAGGCAAGCAGTATATTAGGGATTACAAACACCAGACCTAAATTCCTCCATTGTCTCTCCAGTGATTTATGACAACTACCCTACCCATGATGTTTGCTGACAATACATTGTCTTGGTTCTATTCTACTTCAACAAAAGAATGACATTTGCACAGCAGACGCCAGGACCTGAAGATGGCCATCAGTCATCCAAGTAAAGGAAAAGAAACTCAAGGATGTCAAAACAGAGGAGTTGCCAAACTGAATACTGTTGCAGGATCTCGCCTCTAAAGATACTGGTTGGAGTGTTTCAAAGAACTTACTACCAGTATTACAAGTATGTCAATGTGAAGAAAGGGAACATCATCGGGGTTTCAATGTTGCTGGAATATTACATGCTTTTCAACCACTGCCTTTCATACAAGCAACTCAAACATGAACAGCTACACAAGTACCACTGAAGAGGGCACAGTCTATATTCCTGGCCATGACCTTTGTAGGGTAGATTTTTGTAGAGCAAAAATCCCTGATATTTGCTGAATCCTTTCATATTTTAATTGAGAATTAATACCAGATAAAAGATGATTGGTACAAAAACAAAAAACCAAAGAATGACATTTGAGTGAATAATAAGCTAGTATTTATTAAATGTATACCTTGGGGCAAGTGCTATTCTGATAGCCATTTTACATTATTAAGTAATTCAGCAGTTATAATAATCTTGTAAAAAAAGATACTATTAGAGTCATTTGGGGATAGAAAAATTAAGCTCAGCAAGGTTAGGTAATTTGTCAAAATCACACAGTCAATATCTAAGTTAAAAACTGGAACCAACGTGGTTTGATTCTAGAAGCCAAGGCTTGTGCTCACTTCAGCAGCACATATATTCTAGCAGCCAAGGCTCTTAACCACTATCACTAAATCCTGAATGACTAGTAGAAGTTTGCCAGGAATAAAAGAAGAAGGAAAGCACAAACTAATAAAAAAAAAAAAAAAAGCTCAGCCTATGCAGAAAACAAAGAATAGCCAGATGGCGGAGCGCCTGCGTGGCGCAGTCAGTTATGCATCAAACTGTTGGTTAGGAGAGATAAAGAGCTTCCAAGACAGGCAGGAACTGAAAGAATATGTGACCTCCAAACCAGCTCTGCAAGAAATTTTAAGGGGGACTCTTAAAACTCCCCTTTAAGAAGAAGTTCAGTGGAACAATCCACAAAAACAAGGACTAAATAGATATCATGATGACACTAAACTCATATCTGTCAATAGTAACTCTGAACGTGAATGGGCTTAATGACCCCATCAAAAGGCGCAGGGTTTCAGACTGGATAAAAAAGCAGGACCCATCTATTTGCTGTCTACAAGAGACTCATTTTAGACAGAAGGACACCTACAACCTGAAAATAAAAGGTTGGAGAACCATTTACCATTCAAATGGTTCTCAAAATATACCCTAAAAACTATAGAACACTTCTGAAAGAAATTGAGGAAGACACAAAGATGGAAAAATATTCCATGCTCATGGATTGGCAGAATTAATATTGTGAAAATGTCAATGTTACCCAGGGCAATTTACACGTATAATGCAATCCCTATCAAAATACCATGGACTTTCTTCAGAGACTTAGAACAAATTATTTTAAGATTTGTGTGGAATCAGAAAAGACCCCAAACAGCCAGGGGAATTTTAAAAAAGAAAACCATATCTGGGGGCATTACAATGCCAGATTTCAGGTTGTACTACAAAGCTGTGGTCATCAAGACAGTGTGGCACTGGCACAAAAACAGACATATAGATCAATGGAACAGAATAGAGAACCCAGAAGTAGACCCTGAACTTTATGGTCAACTAATATACGATAAAGGAGGAAAGACGATCCACTGGAAGAAAGACACTCTCTTCAATAAATGGTGCTGGGAAAATTGGACATCCACATGCAGAAGAATGAAACTGGACCACTCTCTTGCACCATACACAAAGATAAACTCAAAATAGATGAAAGATCTAAATGTGAGACAAGATCCCATCAAAATCCCAGAGGAGAACTCAGGCAACACCCTTTTTGAACTTGGCCACAGTAACCGGAGAAGGACAAACAGTGTATGTTCTCATTCATTTGGGGAATATGAATAATAGTGAAAGGGAATATAAGGGAAGGGAGAAGAAATGTGTGAGAAATATCAGAAAGGGAGACAGAACATAAAGACTTCTAACTCTGGGAAATGAACTAGGGGTGGTGGAGGGGGAGGAGGGCGGGGGGTGGGGGTGAATGGGTGACGGGCACTGAGGGGTACACTTGACGGGATGAGCACTGGGTGTTATTCTGTATGTTGGTAAATTGAACACCAATAAAAATTAATTTATAAAATTAAAAAAAAAAACTGTTGGTTTTGGCTCGGGTCGTGATCTCGAAGTTGTGAGATCGAGAACCCTGTTGGGCTCCATGCTCAGCTGGGAGTTGGCTTGAGATTTCTCTCTCCCTCTCCCACCCTCCCTCCCGCCACACTTTCTCTCTAAAAAAATAATAAATAAATAAGCCTTAAAAAAAAGTAGCAGTATGGCTAGTGAGGAGAGTGAATTGTGGCAGGTAATAAACCTTAGAGATTAGGGGATCATGGCATCTGAAGTTTTTTAAAAGTCTAAATTTTGTGTTATTGATAATAGACAGGGAAGAAACAAATTTAAGCCAGGGTTTTCTCAATGGACTGTGAAGCTACAGAAAGGGAACAAATTAAGAAATTATTACAATTGCCTAGACAAGAATGAGGGTTCCAACAAAAGCAAGGGCAGTGAAGATGCAGAAGAGGTGGCAAATTAGAGAAAGAGGGCATATGATTAATATCTTAGTCATGATTGGAGGAATGAGAGAGGGAAAGATCAAAGAGGACTGAGGTGTAGAGCTGAGACAACTGGACAGACACTGCTGCTATTAACGTGAATAAAGAATAGGGAGGAGGAGCAAGTTCCATGGGGGAGGAGGGTAGGAGGCAGAGACAGATTGACCTTGAAATACATGTAAAGCATCCAGACAATTAGAAACACAGGTCTGGAAACCCGAAAAAAAAACTACGGGATATAAATTTAGACCCACCAGAATATGAGACATCTGGAGTCATAAAAGCTTCAGAGGGAGTTTTTAGGGTAATGAAAAGAGAATGAGCCCCTAAGAGCAAGCAGAAGAAAAGTCAGAAGTTAGACAAGAACATCCAAAAAAACCCAGAAGAACCAGGAAAGAAAAATTATTTAGAAACCAAGAAAGGAGTTTCAAGAAAAGAGATGTGGCCATCACTGTCAAATTCTTAGGTACATGTTAAGCTCTAGGTTAAGGGGCTATGTCAATGGAGACAATGGATGTGGAAGCCAGACTGTGGTGGGTTAAGGAGTAATCAGAAACTAGGATGTAAAAATATAAATTTGGCCTAAAGAAAAAGAGACAAGCCAACAGCTGCAAGGGGACTCGGGAATAACTGTAGAGGTCTGAGAGCATGTATCAGATGGAAAGTAAAGAGATGGAAAGGATGTAGAAGAGTAAGTGAATAACTGATAAAGGAAAAACAGAGCATAAATGAGGTTAAGAACATAGATCATGAGATTTGTGTTATTGTTACTCAACTACACTTCTAATTTAAAATATTTATCACATTTGAAAACTCAGAAAGGGGGATCCCTGGGTGGCGCAGCGGTTTGGTGCCTGCCTTTGGCCCAGGGCGTGATCCTGGAGACCCGGGATCGAATCCCACGTCGGGCTCCCGGTGCATGGAGCCTGCTTCTCCCTCTGCCTGTGTCTCTGCCTCTCTCTCTCTCTCTCTCTCTGTGACTATCATAAATAAAAATTAAAAAAAAATTAAAAAAAAGATTTATAGAAAACTCAGAAAGGTACTACTTTGTTTGCATTACCACACAGATTTAAAAGTCCTAACACTCAAAACCTAATATATACATAGATCTGAAGATATTCCATAAGTTCAACTTTTATTCAATCAACTCAGCTGTCCACTGTCCTCAATTAGCATTAGTCTGAATAACTGAAATTTATTATATCGGAATTCAAATAATAAAGACCTGTTTACAAACCAGAGAAACAAAAAGGTCAGATCACTTCTGTATCTTATGTTAATTTCACAGGACAGACAGTAACTTGTGTACAAATTCTGACTCCTAACAACACAAATCAGGTTATTTCACAAACCCAGTTGGCTTCCCTATTCCAGTATAAAATTAACCATGATCAGAGAAAATATATAAAAATATTTTTCTGGGCATTAGCCTCTAAATGAAAAAAATACTGTATTTATGAAATCAGGTATGTATTTTAAGGGTCATTATAATGTTTTATCACAGCAGTAATTAAGATAGATTTGAAGACAAATATACAGGGCATTTCAATAAAGCAAATAATCCTTAAGACTAATAGAGTATTTAATCTAATGCTTTTTAACTTTCTTGTTTAGAAATCAATCATCTAATCCATTTAGAAATCCATGATGTTATTATTCTTAGAAGAAATTAAAGCTAATTTATATTAAACATAATTTATCAAAAAATTAGATGTTCATATTTTGTTGTAAATCTTATTAAAAGCATTAACACATTTCCGTAAAATGTAAAATACACTTGCCTTTCTATAAAAGATTTTTAATAAAGTAATGTATTTCCTGAAATACCTTTACTTTGAAAGATGCAGTGACTTTATTTTGGCAACGAGGACATTAAATTTTATTCAGTAGAGTAGTAATCTACACAGAAGTGGTCTGGAAGTCTAGAAGAGTTAGTGTAACTCTCCTACAATGATTTACTGACTCGTATAATCTGACCCAATTTATCATCTTGCTCACATAATCTGGCCAATATATTGAAACATTTTTTACTTAGTTTCTGGGGCTTACCTGAGAAACATTACTATCCAAAATCAGTCTTGGCAACTGAGAAATAATTAATGAAGAGACCCACATACACAAACATATGCACACTTTCAATAAATATACTGAATAACAACACCACCATTAAATATGTACCATGGAACACAAAGAAATCTTGTGGCTCAGTCATTTATATGTATTAGGATAAAGTTGCACAAAAGCTCTGTATGTTCCTCAACACCACAAAGCTAAGGGGCTATCGCTGAATGAGCTTGGTGATATTTGGATATAAATTTCTAAAGTAGTATATTTTAGTATTTAATGAACTATAAATCCAAATTCAGTTCATAATATATCCTATGAATAACCCTTTTGATTCCTGGAAGATGGGTAATTAAGAGAAATTTTATTTTTGAAATAAAGATATTTTATAGAAATCAATGACGTCTTAAGCAAGAAAATACTGGCAATTCTGAATATTTTTTTAAGATTTGATTTATTTATTCATGAGAGACACAGAGAGAGAGGCAGAGACATAGGCAGAGAGAGAAGCAGACTCCCTGCAGGAACCCTGATGTGGGACTTGATCCCCAGACTCCAGGATCACACCCTGGGCCAAAGGCAGGTGCTAAACCACTGAGCCACCCAGGCGTCCCATGAATAATGGTTTTGACCCAGAGAGTAGTATCTCAGGCTTTTATCTTTTTTTTTTTTTTTTTTTTTTTTTACGTCTCAGGAAATATTTGTTGACATTCAATTTTTTGCAGTGTCCTAACACTGACATCTTCTGACTATTGAGGAGAACTACATATCTCCTTAAAATCTTTCCCAGTGACTAAGCTTATCTTTGTACCCACTTTATTAAAAGTATGGAAGAAATTAACATTTCTTGAATGATGGATAACGTAATAGACGTTTCAAAGAGGATCTCATTTGATCTCTTAGGAACTTACAAAATAGAAATATTATAGGAGATATGTTTAAGCCTTAAAAAATAAAATACTTATCAACAAATGATACTATTAAATCAAAGAACTATTTTTTAAAGGCTTCTGTTAAGGCTTTACTGAGATCTTCACCTGGGTTACTGTAAAGTATTTTTAAAAACAATAAATTGGGGATCCCTGGGTGGCGCAGCGGTTTGGCGCCTGCCTTTGGCCCAGGGCGCGATCCTGGAGACCCAGGATCGAGTCCCACATCGGGCTCCCGGTGCATGGAGCCTGCTTCTCCCTCTGCCTATGTCTCTGCCTCTCTCTCTCTCTCTCTCTCTCTCTCTCTCTCTCTCTCTGTGTGTAACTATCATAAATAAAAATAAAAATAAAAATTTTAATTTAATTTAAAAAAAAACAATAAATTGTATTGATTTGAAAGTTTCATTTGATATTAGATTATCCACAGTAGGTAAACAGGCTGCACAGCATAGGCTCTAGGTTCAAATCTTGACTTGGCTGTTTATTAGCTAAGTGACATGACACATATTAGTTGGCCTCTCTGTTCCTTAATTTACCCATCTGTAAAATAGGAATGATAATTGTACTTACTTCATAGGGTTGCTATGAATATTAAATGAGTTGATATTTGTCAAGTCCTTAGAACAGAGTGCCTGGCACTTAATAATTGCTATGCAAGTGTTTTTGATAAATTATCAAAATTTATATGCTTTTACTTTACTAGTAGATCAAGTAAATATCAAAATCTCTTCCATTAGTCAGAAAAACTAAAATCTCTCATTCATCAGGTTTTATCTACTAACAAATTTTACTATGTGCCTTTGTTCAACGTCCTATAAATTGAAAGAGGAGATTTTAAAACAAATGTCAGAATATAACTGCAGATCTGTAAAGACTTGGGATAAACAGACTTTCACCATTACTGACCAGGGTTCTGCTTAGAAGGTCCTTGTTTTTTTTCCTTTTTATTTCTTCATTATCTCTCGTACTGACCAGGTACCATGAAGCTCAATAAAAGGATTCAGTAATTACTTGTAGAAGGATGAAACTTATCACAGACTTGTTAAGACACATAACATTTTTTTTTGCTCATATGATACTCCCTACTTCCAAATATGTTATATTCCCATAAAAGGAAATAGATCAATGTGTACAGATAACCACTTTTACCAGAGAAAAACATAAAATATAATCCTATCCACTAGAGATATAAACTTCAAACTACCTATAATTTGTCATAGAACTATGTATTTACATAAAATTGTTATTATTACATAAAAATTAGGCTTTGGGAAACAGAAAGGGCACAAAGACAACAGAATTTGCCATTCATGGGGCAGGAAGCTTATCTGCACTGTCCAATAATGGATTCTGAATAGTACTGAAGATTAAGCTAATTCCACTGACATCTACAAACGTAGCAGACTTTAACCACAAATGAATAATACTACAATACTTACAAAGGTGTACACAGTAAAATTTCATTAAAACCCTGCTACCTAGAAATTTGGGGTGATTCGAATAGTCTAAACTTTTAATTTAAGAAATCTACTAAGGTAGCAAGAAGAAAAAATGGGGTACAAACACTTACAAGCATTTTTAGAGCCAGGTAAATAGCATTTATTTAGACAGAAACAGTTAAATGCTAATTGCAAATACATGTGAACTATATACCGAAACAAATCTAACAAAAGACCTATTCTAGGCAATCCCTTAAAACATAACTACATATTGCTACAACTAGCAGTATAGCAAACATTCATCCTTCATGTCAAGTATCTGGTAAATCACAATTCAGATTGATATGCAATGTCATTCTTAATTATTCTGAATTATTGAAATTTTTTGTATTTATAACTGGATAATATTATCTATATCCATGCATGTGGGAAACCAAGATAAAATAATACATTTATTATATGTAACTAGAGTTACAGTCTACCCTATTAACATGAAACTGATAAAACTAAAAGTAATAATTAGAACGTAAATTTTGCAATTTAATATAAAGTACCTTGAAATATTCTTTTCTAATCTGTTTGCTCCGCCTTCTTTCTTCATTCTGCCAGATTATAGGTTGAGATTCTGGCCACTGCTGTTCATCTATTTGATCCTTCTGATTTTCTAGGGGCTATAATGAGACAATTTCTTTTAACTAAATAAATGACATAAATAAAATATTAGATATAACAGTAATTCATTTTTCTCTTACCTGCCATGTGAGGGGTGATAACGGTGAATTAACTTCATCTGCTGAGACACTACAAAATTAAAGATGTCTTCATATGTTAAAAAATTTAGAATTATTCTTAGGTATTTATTATGAACAATATAATGTTGTCTCTCGCTCTCTCTCTCTTTTATTTTTTACCAGAAATCTAAAAGATTTTATCCATGTCTATGGTTTAAACTACATAAAACTTAAAAGTTGACAAAAATATATTAAGTTCCCAATCACTTCTATTCCTTTAAAAAAATTCAATAAGTTTTTTTTAATATAATTCCTATGCAAAGGACTACACTAAGGACTTTTTAGAGGCCAAAAGAAATGTTATACCTAGACATACAATGAAAAACCAGATGTTTTTAATGATTAAATTAAATCACTACCAAAAACAAACAAAAACCTAATAATTTCTTTATACAGATTTATTTTGTTTAAATGCCAAAGAGATTAGGGGAGTAATTCTTCTCTGACTATTGAATTACTGATTATGAACCTCTAACCCTTTATTCTGACACATAGGGTCTATGGTAGAAATTCTTTTCATCTATTTTTGTCAGGAAAAGTAGACTGTACATGTTGTTGTTAAGTGGCCAATTTGAACAAGAAGTTCCTTTGGAAAAAATACACAGACAAAAATGCCCATTAGAGCTATTATTATTCAATACTGTTGTAGAACTTCTCTATTATACAGGAAGAAAAAAACATTTAAATATTAGAGAGAAAGAAACAAATTTTCAAAATTTAGAGAAGACATGATTATCCAAGGGGGAAAAAAATCTATTATTATTAAAAGAAGGTCACCAGTTATAAAAAATATACAAAACTTAATAGCTTTCTCATATATCAATATATTGATAACAAGCTATAAAATATATCAGGAAGAAAATATTCATAAAAGGAAGGAAAAGCAAAAATACTAGGAACAAACTTAACTTAGACATGCATAAGATCTACATCAAAAACTATCCAAGTCAGGACACCTGAATGGCTCAATCAATTAAGCATCTGACTCTTGATTTTCATCTGTGCTTCCAAATCAACTTTGAAATTCTTTTACCAAATTTCTAATACATCCTTTCTGTTTTTTATTATAGTTTATTTCAGCTGTCAATTAATTTGAAGAAGTTATAATATTTTGTCTTTCTAAGAACTTTCCAGTTATTCAATTTTCTTACTAGACATTTGTAGTCTAGTCTAGTGCTCTAGTCTAGTGCTCAAGTCATGATCTTGGGGTTGTGAGATGGAGCCCTGAATTGGGCTCCATGCTCAGCACATGGAGCCTGCTTGGGATTCTCTCTCTCTCTCTCTGCCCCCACCCAACCCTGTTCCCTGTTTGTGCTCTCTCTCTCTAAAAAAAAGAAACATAACTACAAATGTCTAGTAAGAAAATTGAATAACTGGAAAGTTCTTAGAATTACAAAATATTGTAACTTCTTCAAATTAATTGACAGATGAAATAAACTATAATAAAAAACAGAAAGGATGTACTAGAAATTTGATAAAAGAATTTCAAAGCTGATTTGGAAGTACAGATGATAAAGAAAAGCTATATAATAAAGGGGACTTCCCTGCTAGGAAATTACATATATTCTACTAAATTAATTAAATACCATTAGACCCAGAATTTATAGATTTTCCAGTGGAAGACAAGTACAGAACCACAAATATAACAACTTGTGATTTAAAAAATGAAATTTACAATTGTTATAGAAATGATAGGTTATGCAGCAAATAGTGTTGAGACAACTGGTTAACCAATTACAAAATACAAAAAGAAAGAAAAACAGGGGGAGTTGGATACGAAAAAGGAGAGAGGGAGCAAGAAAAGAAGAAAAAATTAAATACCTCACACCTCATATCAAAAACCAAAATTCATGACTAAAAGATTCAAATATAAATAAAGATGAAATTGCATAAGTATATGAAAAATACGGGCAGTAAGCTTTTAAATGTTGAGGCAGAGTATATGGAAGAAACAAACTAAATACTGACAAAACACACAAAATGTAAGAATTAAGACTCTGTATCTGGCCAAGATAGAGTAACAGTGATCAGATTTATACCCTGACTAAAAACACTAAAAGAACAGATAAAATATATTAAATTCTGCTTTCCAAGACACTGAGTACCAGGCAAGAAAGAAAGAAAAAAAGACATTTATCCCTTACAGATGGGTAACAAAGAAGGCAAACCCCATAATTGCATCAGGTTGCTGCAGAAAGAGAGTTTCCAGGCTCCTAGCCCAGAGAGGAGGAACCAAAGTAAGGCCAAGGGGGCTCCCTGAATTGAAGAGACAGAGCTGGGAGCCGGAGTAAAAAAGGTAGATGGAATTAACAGGACAAAGTAATAGAGATTAAGCAATGCACAGAGAAAGGATTTGAAGAGCTTTTACTCTACAGAAGCATTCTTCAAATTTTCAACAGAGTACTGCTCCCTGTTCAGCGGGGAGCCTGCTTCTCTCTCTCCCTCTACTGTTCCCCCTGCTTGTGCACTTGCTTGCTAGCTCCCTCCGTCTCTCAAATAAATAAAATCTTTTTTAACAATTCAATCAGGAATGTTGAGGAAGCTAGAGAAAAAGACTAAGCATGTTAAGTACAGACACGATAAACATAAAATAGATAAAAATAAAAGTTCAAGAGATGAAAAGTACAACATCCGAAATTGAAAATAAACTGGATGGGATTAACTGTAGACTGGACATTTAATAAGAAATTATTAGAGGGGTGCCCGGCTAGCTTAGCTGGTACAGCATAAAACTCATGATCTCAGGGCTGTAAGTCTGAGCACCATGCTGGGTATGATGATTACTTAAAAATAAAATCTTTAAAAGAAGAAATGATTGGTGAACATAAAGACTTAGTAAAAGAACTATCAAAAATCAAAGAAAGAAAGAAAAATACTGAACAGGACTGAACAGAACCTCAGCAATCAGTGGGAAACCCAAAGTAGCCTAATATACATATAACTGGAATTCGAGAATAGGTCAGGGGACAGAAAGGATATTTGAAGAAATAAGGGCCCAAATTTTCACATTTCATGAAAACAATAAACCCATAAATTTGAGAAGCTCAAAGAACTCCAAACAAAAGAAAAATGATGAGAACTACAAGATACATCGTAATCAAATTACTTAAAAACAAATAAATGATAAATAGAAAATGGAAACACGGGATCCCTGGGTGGCGCAGCGGTTTGGCACCTGCCTTTGGCCCAGGGCGCGATCCTGGAGATACAGGATCGAATCCCACGTCGGGCTCCCGGTGCATGGAGCCTGCTTCTCCCTCTGCCTGTGTCTCTGCCTCTCTCTCTGTGACTATCATAAATAAAAAAATAAATTAAAAAAAAAGAAAAGAAAATGGAAACAGCAGCCAGAGGAAAAAGACACATTAGGTTCTATGAAACAAATGCTGACAACAGAATTTTCATAGGAAACAACACAATCCAGAGGACAATAAAAAACTCTTTAAGGTACTGAAAGAAAACAAAAATGTCAACCTAAAATTCTGTACCAGCAAAGATTCAAAAATGAAGGTGAAACAAAGACTCTGTCATACAGAAGCTGAAAGGATTCAGCACCAGCAGCATTAAAGTTCCTTTCAGGTAGGAAGAAAATTATACTACATGGAAATATAGAGCTACACAAAGGAATACAGAGCTATTAGTGATGGTAACTAAGGGAGTAAAGATAAAAGACATTATTCTGATTATTTTAATCTCTGTAAAGAAATAATCAACTATTTAAAGCAAAAATAATAACAATGTATCACGAGGTTTTAATATATATATATATATATATATATATATATATATGTAAAATGTATAGCAACAACACCACAGAGGCCAGAAGGGAAGAAACAGATGTATACTGTGGTAGAGTTACATATGAAATGGCATACCAACACTTGAAGGTAGACTGTGATAAGTTAAACACTATACTTTAAACCCTAAAATAATTAGTAACAAAAAATTACAGCTAATAAGTCCATGAAGGAGATAAATAGGAGTCTTTAAAAAAAAAATTTAAAAAGAGGGATGATGGCTATAGGGAATAGATAAGACACAAACACACAAGAAGATGATAGATTTACATCTATTAATAGCAATAATTCCATTAAATATAAACAATATTAACACTACCATTAAAAGATTGTCAGATTAAATAAAAAAGGAAGGTGCTACTATATTCTAAATATAAGAAACAAACTTTCTCCACAAAAACACAAGTAGATTAAAAATAAAAGGATGGATAAAAATGTATCATGTTAACAGTAATCAAAAGAAAGCTGAGATGACTATACAATATCAGAAAAATAGACTTCAGAGCAAAGAATATTACCAGAAATATAAAAAATATTATTTCATAATAACAAAGGTATAAATTCACCAAGAGGACACGACAATCCTAAACATTCATGTATTTAATAACAGCTTCAGAATACATGAAAGAAAAATGATAGAACTTCAAAGAAATCCCCAATTAGTGCTGGAGATTTCAATAGTCTTCTCTTAATAACTGATAAAACTGACATTGTAGTGTGCCAAGGGAGTGATGTGGTGATAAAGACAAACAGTAAACAAATAAAGAAGTATATATTCAGAATGTCAGATGGTAAAAAAAAAAAAAAAAAAAAAAAGTATAAATTTAGAATGTCAGAGGGTATTAAGATCTTTGGAGAAAAATTAAAAAAGGTATGGGAAAAGGGACAAGGAAGTTGGGGGGGAGGCATTATCTTTTATAGAAGTTATCCAGGGGGGATCCCTGGGTGGCGCAACGGTTTGGCGCCTGCCTTTGGCCCAGGGCGTGATCCTGGAGACCCGGGATCGAATCCCACATCGGGCTCCCGGTGCATGGAGCCTGCTTCTCCCTCTGCCTGTGTCTCTGCCTCTCTCTCTCTCTCTCTCTCTCTCTCTCTCTCAATCTGTGACTATCATAAATAAATAAAAATTAAAAAAAAAAAAAAGAAGAAGTTATCCAGGGAACTCCTTGCTGATGACGTGAAATTTGAGCAGAAACCTGACACCAAGGGAATAAACTTTATGGTTATCTGGGGGGAATCATCCTAAGCAGAGGCAAAAGCCTTGAGGGACCAGGAAATGCCTGGTGAATTAAGACTCAACAAGGAGGTCAGTATATCTAGAGAGGAACTAACCAACCAGGAAGACCCAGGCAAGAGAGCAAGGCAGGAGGGCGCCAAATAATGCAGAGGTTTCTAAGTCCCTAAAGGACTCTAGTTTTTATTCCAAATGAGATGGGAAGTCATTAGAGAATTCTGAAGAGTGACAAGATCTGACTTACATCACAAAAAAATATCAATCTGATGCTTTTTTGAAAAACAGACTAAAGGAAACCAAGGGCAGGAAACCGGCCAGAAGGCTTTTTTAGGGCAGCCCGGGTGGCTCAGCGGTTTAGCCTTCAGCCCAGGGTGTAATCCTGGAGACCCAGGATCGAGTTCCACGTCCGGCTCCCTGCATGGAGCCTGCTTCTCTCTCTGCCTGTGTCTCTGCCTCTCTCTCTCTCTCTCTGCCTCTCTCTCTCTCTCTCTGTCCCTCATGAATGAATAAATAAAATCTTAAAAAAAAAGGCTATTTTAATAACTGAACTAAGAGATGGCTAGGGTGGAAATACATCAGTCAGGGAAAGACAAATATATGATTTCACTCACAGTGGAATTTAAATTTTTTTTTTATTTATTTATGATAGTCACAGAGAGAGAGAGAGAGAGGCAGAGACACAGGCAGAGGGAGAAGCAGGCTCCATGCACCGGGAGCACGACGTGGGATTCGATCCCGGGTCTCCAGGATCACGCCCTGGGCCAAAGGCAGGAGCCAAACCGCTGCGCCACCCAGGGATCCCCACAGTGGAATTTAAGAAACAAAACAGATGAACATAGGCAAAGGAAAGGAAAAATAAAGTAAGAGGAATCAGAGAGAGGGAGGCAACCATAAGAACTGTTAACTACGGAGACCAAACTGAGGGTTGCTGGAGGGGAGGTGGATTGGGGGAAGGGGGAACTGCGTGATGGGTATTAAGGAGGGCACTTGTGTTGAGCACTGGGTGTTGATGAATCGCTCCTGAAATCAATACTACACTATATGTTAAGTAACTTGAATTTAAAGGAAAACTTGAGGGATCCCTGGGTGGCACAGCGGTTTGGCGCCTGCCTTTGGCCTAAGGCGCGATCCTGGAGAACCGGGATCGAATCCCACGTCAGGCTACCGGTGCATGGAGCCTGCTTCTCCCTCTGCCTGTGTCTCTGCCTCTCTCTCTCTCTCTGTGACTATCATAAATAAAAAAAAAAAAGAAAAGAAAAATTTGAAAGAAAAATCATAAAGATAAATTAATAAATAAAATAAAAATTTTAAAAGATATGGCTAGAGCTAGGGTGGTAGGTGTGGAGGTGGTAAGATGTGATCAGATTCGGGTTATATTTTGAAGGCAGAGTCAATGAGATCTGCTAGTGGATTAGATATGGCATGTGAAAGAAAAGTGACATGTTAAGGTTGACTGAGGCTTTTGAGCTGAGCAACTAGAAGGATGAGTTTACATTTTCTGAAATGGGAAAAAATACAGGAAAAACAAGTTCAAGAGGTACAAGGAGGGATTAAGACTATAGTTTTAGAGGGGCACCTAGGTGGCTCAATGGGTTAAACATCTACCCTCAGCTCAGGTCATGGTCCCAGGGTCCAGGGATAGAGCCCCACATGGGGCACCCTCTTCAGCTGGGAGCCTTTTTCTCCCTCTCCTTCTGCCTCTGTCCCCTGCTAGTGCTCTCTCTCAAATAAATAAATAAAATCTTAAAAAAAATAAGAGTATAGTTTTGGAAAGTTAAGTTTCGTGACTATTGTACATCCAAGTGGAGATGTTAAGTAGGCAACAGGTTATATAACTCTGTGGTGCGTGCGTGCGTGCGTGTGTGTGTACACACACGAACATGCAAATATTCACGCACACAGATAAAAAAGGGTCTAAAGAGAAAAATACCAAAATACTATGACTTGTCATCTCTGAAGAGTGGAATAATAGTTGATATTTATTTGGGTTTTTTTCTTTGTGTTTGCTAAATCTTATAATTTTTCAAGAATAAAGCTACATTAATCTCGTACTAAGAAATTTTTTATTTTGTTTTTAAGAAAAAAATTGAGTGATTATTTTGAAAATGAGAAAAGTAGAAGTAATAGTTATATGAAGGAGAGGCCAGGATTAGATATCACAGTGATGAGGTTTGGGCAATTGGGGTTTTCTCAAGAGAATATTAGGAACCTGGGGGGGAAGCTTAGCATGGGAATGAAAGAAGGTAGGGGGGAAGTAATAACACAAACTTTAAGGAAAGAGAACATACAAGATAACAGAATCAGTATTCAAAAATGGAGGGAGTGGGTTAAATTCAATTACTGAAATTTGAGTAATGTTTCTAGACTTGAGTATAAAAACTCATCTTTATACTTGAACTCAATTCTGAATGCCAAAGTGGAAAAAAAGAAGAAAGGGCAGTCCCAGGAGAGAAATCAGGATATACAGAACACAGAGATGGGAAGCCATGCTAGAATAAGGAAAAAAGTACTGTTCCTAACAGCAAAAATTGCCACTGGAAGAGCGCATAAGGCTTAAGATAGGCAGAAATTCACTTCAATCTTACAGTTAAGTCAAACATTTTCAGCTTTATCCTGAAAGTGATAAAGAACCAGTAGAAGATAATAAATGGGAGTCAAACAGACTATTTTAGAACCATGACTCTTATAACAGTGCAGAAGACAAGTTTAAAGGTAAGCAAAAGTGAAGAAAGGAGATACATCTAGGGACTGTTACAGTAATCCAGGAGGAAAAGGATGGGGCCCATGCCAATACGATTGTGCTAGGAATGGAGAAGTTGAGACAGATGTAAGTAATGTTAAGAAGCTGTAATTTTCTGGGCAGCCCCGGTGGCCCAGCGGTTTAGCGTCACCTTCACCCTGGGGCATGATCCTGGAGACCTGGGATCGAGTCCCACGTCGGGCTCCCTGCATGGAGCCTGCTTCTCCCTCTGCCTGTGTCTCTGTCTCTGTCTCTCTGTGTGTGTGTCTCTCATGAATAAATAAATAAAATCTTAAAAAAATAATAAATATTTCAAAAAAAGAGAAGCTGTAATTTTCTGTTATTTACTAGATTGGGAAGGGTGCATAAGAAGTTTCTGGGCCGCTTGGGTGGCTCAGCTGATAAGCACCTGCCTTTGGCTCAGGGTGTGATCCCTGAGTGCCGGGACTGAGTCCCACATCAGGCTTCCTCCTGCATGAAGTCTGCTTCTCCCTCTGACTATGTCTCTGCCTCTCTCTCTCTGTCTCTCATGAATAAATAAATACAATCTTAAAAAAAAAAGAGAGAGAGAGAGAGAGAGAAGTTTCCTATGATTTCAAAGTTGCTGACAGGTGACTGAGTAGTGGGACACTTACTCAGGCAAACTATATAGGAGAAGAAGTAAGTTTGGGAAAACATAAGTTCAGTTTAGACTGAGTTATCCAGGAAAAGATATCAGTGGTATGTGTGAATCTCAAGGAAGCAAAACGTTCTTTTTACCATATGTTAAGACATGGGGTTCTGGAACCAGACAACCTGGGCTTGAATCTTCACTGTATCACTTATAAGCTGTGTGACCTTTAGCAAATTATGGTAATTTCTGAACCTCTGTTTTTTCCCTAACAAAATGGGGTAACAGTAACAACTTCATAGTTGTTAGGAGGATTAAACGAGACAAGACATCTAACCCATTGAGAACAGTTTGCATATAACAAGCGTTTAAGAAATGTTAATTCTCTCTGTGTTTACTTCTACAGCCACCCTACCTCCAGCCTTGGACCTTTATACTCCTGTAGAAATGACCCAGGAGTTGAACCTGATGCAAATTTTCAAACTGCCAAAAAGATAAATAGAAACTTTCAAGGTCTTCTAGTTCTCTGGAATTCATACATATTAACTTAGACCCTGTATTCACAAAGAAGAACTTAGTAAAACCCAATTGAAATGAAATTAAAAAGTGAACGATAACAGAAAACAAACACAATGATGAAGAAACACATTCTGGCAGTAATACTCCTACAATAAATGGTTTACTGAGTTAATAAATGAACAAATGATTCTGTCATTAAGAAAAAATGCAGGTATGAGCACAAAAAGAGATCAAAATCAGTATTTTTGGATCTGTTTATATCAAAAGTAAATTTATCTGGTGCTATAACACATTTCTTCATTAAATTATCTAGTTATAGTAAATCTGTATCATTTATTCAATTAAAGCCCACATATGGGAACATCACTGTTAGAGAATCAAGCTTCATTTTAAAATATTAAACATAAGGACTAAGATATTTTTATACCTCTTTTCGCATTCCACAGTTTGTTTTGGCTTGTTTCTTGGGACAGAAGTTGAATGATTAAGAATCCTAGAAGTAAATTAGTACATTAATTCCAAAATACATTAAAAAGAAAAGTGTTAACGCATGATATAAAAGATCTCCATAATAAACTGCATCTGGTCCATGAAGATCTCTCCTAGAAAACAATGTTTAAATATCATTTAGATATAATTCCTATGGCTATCATGAAGGAACGAAGCCCACCAACTCTTCCGCACATCTTCTTCTATAAACCTTTTCTTGAGGTCTGGGTATCTTCTAAGCATGCTATTGCCCTGTGTGTATCTAACTGGCTGAGACAAAAGATAAATAGATGCAGATTGTTTAGGTGCCATCGTGACTGATTTCATTTTCCCAGCACAGCAAATAACACAAGTTATGCTAATGTAACAGATGATCATTTTGCCAGGAGCCAAATAACAAATCTTAATTCTAAATGTAAAGCCAATGTTAAAGTTCAATTCTTTAAAAAAATCTCACAAGTTTACTAAACTTTTAATACCCAAATAAGATGATATTTGAAGAAAACAAAAAAGAAAAAAAACGATAAAGCATCATGAGAGAACTACTTGTCCATAATTTTATAGAATTCTAAGTATTAATCTCAAAGTCCAAAGTAATGAATAACTTCCTTTAGCATAAGTCACTAACATATTTAAGAGTTCTTAATATTTATCTATTTACTATAGATTTAAATGTAACTTGCTTTTCAATTTTAAAGTTTAGTCTTATAAAATATGTCTTATTCAAGAAACTTTGGATGTCAACTATCAAAATAAAAAGGAGAAAATAATTTAAAATTAAACTACAGGGACGCCTGGGTGGCTCAGCAGTTGAGCAACTGCCTTTGGCTTGGGGCATGATCCTGGAGTCCTGGGATCAAGTCCCACATCGGGCTCCCTGCAAAGAGCCTGCTTCTCCCTCTGCCTATGTCTCTGCCTCTCTCTCTCTGTCTTTCATGAATAAATAAATAAAATCTTTTTAAAAAATAAAAATAAAACTACATATTTACTACTAAAAAATATCATAACCTAAAGATAAGTTGGTAATTACAGAAAGATGGTTAACATAAAGAAACCAATTTTCAGGGGATCCCTGGGTGGCGCAGCGGTTTGGCGCCTGCCTTTGGCCCAGGGCGCGATCCTGGAGACCCGGGATCGAATCCCACATCAGGCTCCCGGTGCATGGAGCCTGCTTCTCCCTCTGCCTGTGTCTCTGCCTCTCTCTCTCTCTCTCTCTCTCTGTGACTATCATAAATAAATAAATAAATAAATAAATAAATAAATAAATAAATAAATAAAAAGAAACCAATTTTCATTACCCCAGCTTCCTCACTAGCTTGGATGGATTAAAGCCTCTTTAGGAGGAAATCACAGTGAGGAGCAAAGGACAAGTATCACAGGCAATGCAATGTAGCTTTGCACCGAACAACTTTGAGATTAATAACACCTTTATTTTGCTTAGTATGGACATATACTAAAATTGCACTTAATCCTGAAATGCAAAAGAATTAAGGTAAAAAATATCTAGGACTATTAAGAAATACATCTTTAAAGAGTGATTTTTAAAAATGAGATATAACAGTGAGAACTGTACTGAGGAGTGAATGTCAGAATTATTGCAGTGGAGGGAGGTAGAAGGATCAAACTACAGTGCCCTCACTATAGTAAATTCTGAATTCTCCTCAAACCACACTAGCATTGTGATTACTGATGTATATGAGTCATACTGAAGCAGAAAGATGAAAAAAAGTTGAGATCCATTTACCAATAAAATATACGTGAGAATTTTCCTATGTAAAAGTCTGTTTGTATGTGGCTATTTAATGTTTTACTCTGATATTCAAAGTCAAAATAAACATGTGCTGTATCTAAATATCTGTTCTAGATAATAAACACATTTCCCTAATCCAGTTACTAGTACTGTATTTTAAGTAAATGACTATAAAATTCAGCTGCACCAACCTGGCACAGGCTTCCACAAACTCTAGATACCTTGATGCATGTCCTGCTGCTCTGGTCCTCTGGAAGAGTTTTTCACTGAATGATGCTCTATTACACAAAGGCCTCCATCTGTATTGACATTTCCCGTACATGAACCAAACCAAGAGGTGGGAGAAGTAAGATGTTATGGGAGAGGACAGGGAAGTGTTTAGTAAAGCAAGCAGAAAAGAAAAAATGGATAGATTTCAAGGGTTGAGAAAACTACCTAATTAGTAATAACAAGCTAGAGGTCAACGTGATGCTCCTCGAACTGGAATATTCATATATATGATCAGGGGAAAAAAATCACAAGAAATAAGTTATGTTTATAATTTCTCTAATTCTAAACCAAAATAAGAAACTTCTCAAAATGTGATTTTCCTTCTTCATGATCCTTAATTATACTTCAATATAACTTTTCAAAACTACTTTTTTTTAATTTAGCCATATTACATAGTACTAAGAAGCACATCTTTCCACAATATGTGAAAACTCTCAGGACACACTTCGCTGTAAATAAAGTAATTATTAAAAAGAAAGACATAATAGAAAACTATACAAGTTACCAGGAATGAACATGCAATGGGAATCATTCAATTGAAGCTATTCACTGCAAAAGCCCACATATAGTAATCCTTTCTTTATGGTGATAACCACACAAATTTTAAGAAGCCAGCTAAACATCAACTTATTCAGCCACATAATAAGAATATCTATATAAGAAAATGAACAGGGGGCATCTGGGTGGCTCAGTCAGTTAAGCGTCCAACTCTTGATTTTGGCTCAGGTCATGATCTCAGGGTCATGAGATTGAGCCCCATGTTGGGCTCCATGCACAGCACAGAGTCTACTTGAGTCTCTCTCTCTCTCTCTCTCTCTCTCACCCTCAGCCCCTCAATCCCCCAAAATAAATAAAATCTTTTAAAAAAAATAGAGAACGGTAGCTATTTCTCTAACAATAAAATAGATAAGAGGGTTGATGGAAATTTGAAGAGTTAGCTAAATAATTTAGAGAACATTACAATAATTTTTTAAGATGATAGTTTTTTTTAATTCCCCAAATTATAGTGAAGATTAAAAACGTACAGAATAGCTATTTTTTTAAGATTTTATTTATTTATTCATGACAGACACAGAGAGAGAGAGAGAGGCAGAGACACAGGCAGAGGGAGAAGCATGCTCCATGCAGGGAGCCTGACGTGGAACTCGATCCCAGGTCTCCAGGATCACACCCCGGGCTGAAGGCAGCACTAAACTCCTGGGCCACCGAGGCTGCCTCAGAATAGCTATTTTAATATAGGGAGCTTCACTGATTCAGAGGGACTATCAATACACTCAAATACAAGTAGAAAAAATTCAGTATTTTAATAAGAGGAATAAAGATTAGCTTCTAAAAAAACCAACAATAAACTGTCAAAACAAAGTAGCTTAATCTATGCATCTCAAAGAGGGAGCAGTCTTCTAAAAACTAGCCTTCAGACTTTGAACACTTATGATAAAATAATCTACTTGATAGTTTATTTCATCTCCTTTCCTGTTCTTTTTCACTATTAATTCTGTGCATTATCCCCTTGTTAATTTTCCTAGAGTAGTTTCATCAACCAGGTACTAGTATAAACTTGCGTAAAGAATAAAAGACACTTTTAAGAACAGTATGAACTAAACAATTGGCAAAGTTGCTTTCAGAAAATCACCACTGAAGTCAACCTAAGCAGTTTTTTAATTGCCTTTAATTTGGGAGTACATGCATGGCTTCTTTTCGCAGAGAACTAACACTACATTTACCTTCAACTAGTAGCTAGCTAAAGAACAGTTAAGTAGCATATGGTGTAGGAGTTCTAGGTGGTACTTTCTGATATGCGAGGGTAATCTTACTCCACATAAATCATTTTAAATCAAGACAAACAACAACAAAAGCATTACAAGACTGTGTTAAAGCCTAAAATGAAATGTTGTAACTCCTGATTGACTTACAATTTTATTTTATCTTAAGATTTTATTGATTTATTATTTAGAGAGAGAGGACAAAAAACACAAGCAAGCAGCAAGAGGGGCAGAGGGAGAGGGAAAAAGAATCTCGAGCAGACTCTGCAATGAGCACAGAGCCTGACGGAGGGCTGGATCATGATCTAAGCCGAAGTCAAGAGTCAAGTGCTTAACTGCCTGAGCCACCCAGGCATCCCTGACTTGCATTTTAAATAGCATTTCAGACTCTTCATTAATAAAGTGGAAATCTAAAACACAATACAGTGTGAAAGAGAAAATCTACAACCAGAGAAGGTATAATTAACATCAAATCCTCTAAGGGATGGAAGATTACTTTTGATTTTTTTTTTACTCAAATCAAGAACTGTAATAGCAAACAAGAATTTTAATTATCTACTTCTGAGAGATGTGAGTGACAGTAACATATTTTAGAAGAAATGAGAGATTATTCAGTGAAGAAAATACTAGATTTAGCATTTAAAAATTCTAAGATCAGTTTAAGTCAGCCATTAACAGAAGAGGCCAAGTATCTTATTTAAATTGTCTATAAATTATTGATTTTGAAAGTTAAATGTGCTCTTTATAGTATGACCACATATAAATATTTTAATGCCTTCCAAAATAAGACATAATTATTACATTAATATCACTGCATATTAATATCTATCTTAAAAATTTCATATTCGGGGCAGCCCCGGTGGCACAGTGGTTTGGTGCCGCCTGCAGCCTGGGGTGTGATCCTGGAGACCCAGGATCAGATCCCACGTCGGTCTCCCTGCATGGAACCTGCTTCTCCCTCTCCCTCTGCCTGTGTCTCTGCCTCTCTCTCTCTGTGTCTATGAATAAATAAATAAAATCTTTAAAAATAAATAAATAAATAAATTTTCATTTTCATGTGTGCTAACATCTGAAAAGGCAGATGAAGAGAAACATCAGAGTTAAATGACTCTTTCATACATCTAAAAAAATAACAAGTTATTTAGAAAGAACACAACTAAATTAATGGTTCCTATTAGTTTTAAATTTGTTAATCTCACTTTCAAGCAATCAATTCACTGAGTATTACTGAGAACCTACCATGTACAAGGCACAATGCTAGGCGCTATTTTGTAAAGATTATAAAACCATCACAAAAATATAACCTATGAAATATCATTTGATATTGTTTCTAAGCTAAAAGAATAATTCCAGTTACAGAAATAGATGAATAGTAGAAAACTGAAAAATATAGAAATGATATATATGACATCTTTAAAATCTACAATTATGCACTCAAATGCTATTCTTAACAGAATCAGAGAAATAAATATTGCTGTGGGTTCTTTTAAAATCAGTATTCTCTGCTCATAATGATATATACAATTATTTCACCTGTTGGGTAGAAGAGACAAACTCAACTATTTTGTAAGCTACAAAGAGTAGGTGGTGGCTTGCTTCATCAAACCTCTTAAACTATGGGGGCAATCAATACCTTGATTATATTGGAGGGGGGGAAACATTCATAACCCCACAAGTAACCAATATTTTAAAAACCCATTAGAAATGAATCACAGGAAAAGATTAGAAAATAAATTTCACAGAAAAGGGTGACAATAATAGAAGAAAACCATAAGCTGGTTATGAGGATACATTAGATATAGAAGGGATAAAAAAGATTGCTATTTTCTAGTATGGTTTTTCATTCTATAAATGCAGTAGATTCACCAAAAAGGATGTTTAGTAATTATTTTTTAAAAATAGTGGCCCTTAAAACCAGACATTTGCAATTTGATGAGTTTCAATAGTAATTATTTTTCGAACCATATATAAAAGCAAATGCCAGGAACACCTGGATGGCTCAGTGGTTGAGCATCTGCCTTTGGCTCAGGTCATGATCCTGGGATCCTGGGATTGAGTCCTGCATCAGGGTCCCTGCATAAAGCCTGCTTCTCCCTCTGCCTATGTCTCTGCCACTCTCTATGTCTCTCATGAATAAATAAATAAAATCTTTTTAAAAAAATAAATGAAAGCAAATGCCAGTGTACTTAAATTTTAAATGTTACAAAAGATGGTCATGTGACCCACAAACATTTATTATTTTGGTTAAGGAAACTAAAATACGGGGATCCCTGGGTGGCTCAGCGGTTTGGCGCCTGCCTTTGGCCCAGGGCGTGGTCCTGCGGTCCCGGGATAGAGTCCCACATCAAGCTCCCTGCATGGAGCCTGCTTCTCCCTCTGCCTGTGTCTCTGCCTCTCTCTTTCTCTCTGTGCCTCTCATGAATGAATAAATAAAATCTTAAAAAAAAGTAAAATACTGGGATTCCTGGGTGGCGCAGCGGTTTGGCGCCTGCCTTTGGCCCAGGGCGCAATCCTGGAGACCCGGGATCGAATCCCACGTTGGGCTCCCTGCATGAAGCCTGCTTCTCCCTCTGCCTGTGTCTCTGCCTCTCTGTCTCTCTCTGTGTGACTATCATGAATAAATAAATAAAATCTCAAAAAAAAAGTAAAATACTTATTAATTACCCATGTAAATGTACAAAAATTATTATTTTTTTAAATTATTCTTTTAATTTTCTCAAAACAAAAAAAAACGCTCAGATCTTCTTTATTTCAAAACTATAAATGCAATTCTCTCAGTACATGAAGATGGAATAATAGCTAACCCTCAGCAGCACAGAGAACTTCTGTATTAAAAATGGATGTGTGGGACACCTCGGTGGCTCAGTGGTTGAGCGTCTGCCTTTGGCTCAGGTTGTGATCCCGTAGTCCTGGGATGGAGTCCCGTATCAGGCTCCCCTCAGGGAGCCTGCTTCTCTTTCTGCCTATGTCTTTGCCTCTATGTCTCGTACAGATAAATAAATAAAATCTTTAAAAAATAACATTAAGGGAAGCCTGGGTGGCTCAGCGGTTTAGCACCACCTTCAGCCCAGGGTGTGATCCTGGAGACCCATGATCAAGTCCCACGTCGGGCTCCCTGCATGGAGCCTGCTTCTCCCTCTGCCTGTGTCTCTGCCTCTCTCTCTCTCTCTGTGTCTCTCATGAATAAATAAATAAAATCTCAAAAAAAGATAAAATAAAATAAAATAAATAATAATAATAATAAAATAAAATAATTAAAATGCATTGATTTTATACTCATTCATACAATGTCTTCCTTATTGCCAATGCTATATATTTGGAGAAAGCCCAGCCAGAGGGAGAAATCGTCATTGACCAAGTAACAGACCAAAGTGAACCTGTGACCTTCAAATCATCATGTTGATTTCATCAACCATTATGTAATTCCATTAAATTCTAAGGAGTTTACACATATCCCAAGTAATCTGGAATATAATAAAAAGTGCGCTACAGACACATGACATGTACTTGGGGGAAAACACTTATAATGTATCTAATGCTATTGTGAGCTAAAATGAGTATCAAAAAACAAATCAGTTATTATTATTTAGCACACAGGAATAAAAAGGAGACACCTACACAATAATTAAATAAAATGACTATGTGAGTATGAAGTATTTGTCAATTGTGTATATAACTTTACATTTCTCTCCTAAGTATTTCCTGTTATCTTTTAGTAGTTAGTTCCTTGGCATAGATCTTAAGATGGTCCTATTGTTTACTGGAATCTTCCTTTGATAATTTTTAAATGATCATTTAATGATTATAAAGTCTGCCTATTTAAATCTCATTACTGAAAAAATACCTGTTTTTCTGCTCTTGCTGCAATAACTGAGCGGCTATTTTCCTCAAATCAGTTACTTCCTTCAAATCATCATCCTCTTCCTCTGCAAGTAACTGTTCTTTCCCAAGTCTGAAAGGTGACACAAACACGGTTATCCAAAAAGTAAGGCAGATATTTTATGCCAGCTTCCAGAAACAAACCATTTGTTCGTTTTTAATATCATGTAAAAGCTATAATCCTAATGTCCTTGTAATTAAACATTAAAATAAGGAGTATATAAGGAATATAAAAACATATCTATCTTCTATTCAATAGGAAATAGTATCATACTGGTTATATTAATATAACTAATGATTAACAAAGTAAATTGTATTACCATTTTATAATTTCTGAAATGTGTAATTTAACAATGCATACTTCCCAGTCCTGAGTGTAATAAGAACTGCAAAGTTCTGTATGCCTGTCTTTACAAATATCAAATGTTATGAAAATGTTACTAAACCACCCTCCTTTAATCAGTTTATTCATCATGATATTAAAAATCTCCATGTAAAATGTTTAAGTAGAAGAAATGTAAAATAGGTCCAAGTATGACTGGCAATTTGCAGGAAAATGTTCATTAAAATACATAATTTTTAATCATTCAAAGAGAGCAAAAGAATTTTTAAATAAGTTGTTCTCCAAACTCTAGTAACTTTATCCAAAGGTATTTCATTTAAAACACAGTATCAGAGATGCCTGGGTGGCTCAGCAGTTGAGAGTCTGCCTTTGGCTCAGGGGATGATCCTGGAGTTCCGGGATCAAGTCCCACATCGGGCTCCCTGCATGGAGCCTGCCTCTCCCTCTACCTGTGTCTCTGCCTCCATCTCTCTCTGTGTCTCGCATGATTAAATAAATAAAATCTTTAAAAATAAATAAATAAAACACAGTATCAAATCCTAAGGCTTTGGGACACCTGGGTGGCAAAGCGGTTAAGCATCTCCCTTCAGCTCAGGGCGTGATCCCAGGATCCAGGATGGAGTCCCACATCTGGCTCCCTGCGGGGAGCCTGCTTCTCCCTCTGCCTATGTCTCTGCCTCTCTCTTTCTGTGTCTCTCATGAATAAATAAATAAATCTTTTTTAAAAAATCCTAAGACTTTGTATCTTGACTCTATCTTGTATGCCACTGTGACATTCAAGTTTATACAACTATCTTCATGACATAATGTGAGAAAGTAAGAGAAAAATGAAATATAAAGAGTACAAGACAAAGCAATGTACCTCCTTATGGGGAACCAGACATGACTAATTCATAACTGATTAAAAAGTTACAAATTAGGTCATTTGTAGGAAGCACAATGTAGAGAAAAGAGAAAAACCTAGGGATCACAGAAAGCTAGGTTTACACCCTAGATTCTAGTAGACACAAAGTGATTCTAGGCAAGAAACTTCTGAGTCTCCAAGCTTCCCCTTCCTTATCTGTAAAAATAGGGATGGTATCAATGCTACAGGATTTAGTGAAGATTAAATAAGAAACATGAAAGGCACCTGGCTGGCTCAGCTAGAAGAGCACATGACTCTTGATCATGGGGTCATGAATTCGGGCCCCATATTGGGTTACTTAAATAAAATTTAAAAAAAAAATCTTTGGAGGCAGGAAACAACAAATGTTGGAGAGGATGCGGAGAAAAGGGAACCCTCTTACACTGTTGGTGGGAATGTGAACTGGTGCAGCCACTCTGGAAAACTGTGTGGAGGTTCCTCAAAGAGTTAAAAATAGACCTGCCCTACGACCCAGCAATTGCACTGTTGGGGATTTACCCCAAAGATTCAGATGCAATGAAACGCCGGGACACCTGCACCCCGATGTTTCTAGCAGCAATGTCCACAATAGCCAAACTGTGGAAGGAGCCTCGGTGTCCATCGAAAGATGAATGGATAAAGAAGATGTGGTTTATGTATACAATGGAATATTACTCAGCCATTAGAAATGACAAATACCCACCATTTGCTTCAACGTGGATGGAACTGGAGGGTATTATGCTGAGTGAAGTAAGTCAATCGGAGAAGGACAAACAGTGTATGTTCTCATTCATTTGGGGAATATAAATAACAGTGAAAGGGAATATAAGGGAAAGGAGAAGAAAAAGACTCTTAACTCGGGGAAACGAACTAGGGGTGGTGGAAGGGGAGGAGGGCGGGGGGTGGGGGTGAATGGGTGACGGGCACTGAGGGGGGCACTTGACGGGATGAGCACTGGGTGTTATTCTGTATGTTGGTAAATTGAACACCAATAAAAAATTAATTTATTTAAAAAAAAAATCTTTGGGGCACCTGGCTGTCTCATTTGGAAAAGCATGCTACTCTTGATCTTGGGGTCATGAGTTGCAGCCCCATGTTGAGTGTAGAGGCTGCGAAAAAAATTTTAAACTGAAAAAAAATTTTTAATAAAGATAAATAAATAAGAAACATGGGAAAGCACATAGCACAGATCCTAGCACATGGTAGGTATTCAACAAATATTCCTTCCTTCCTTCCATCCTGTAGCTACAAAGCAACTTTAAGGAGTAACTGAACACGGCAAGTCATATTCCATCATTCCATAAGATAAATGATAGAGAACAGATTTAAAGTGCAATGATTTTAATAAAATACAGAAATAAATGCCCTTAAAATTACTATAACCAATCTGATGAAATGGAAATGCATTAAACCAAGTGCTGGAACACCTGAGCTCCAGACATTTGAAACTCCAGGTCTGCTCCTTATTGGCCAAATGATGCAAAAAATCATCTATTTTAAAGAGTTGCTAAAGAGCTCAAATGAAGCAATGTATGTGAAGGTATAGCTCTCCTCAGGAATAATAATAGAATTATACTTCTAGGGGGTAGGGGAAATGTATATACTACACTCAGCTTATTGCTTACTATAATTTTCAGCTTAATTGAGGATTGCAGAAAAATGAAGTACTTACAAATTGACTATCTGAACATAACAGGTAAATGAACCAAAAATCGTATTCTTTCAAAGTACTCTTTCGAATAGGAATATCTAACAAATATTTAATTTTAAGTAACATTTCAATTTGAGAATTCATGTGTGTTTACCTTTTTTCATCTCCCAATTCTTCATTTTTCTGAGATTTCTCAGGACCTTTTTCTTTCCCCTTATATAAAAGAAAGTTAAATTTTAAATCTGTGTGGTGTACTTCTGTGAGATCAAGGAAAATATGTTATTATGTTATTAATATTTGTTCGAAGTTTTCTTTACCTTAAGGAAAGAGACATATGAACCAATATGTGCATCTCCTTGTTCAGGAACTGCTACATCTTCTGTGTTGGGGTCAATAAAATCATACACCTCCTGGTCTAAGTATAGAAAGATATTTATTAGAAAATATAAATTGTAAACTGTGCTTTCATAAGTGTTTAGAACAATAGATTTTCTCAATAAAAGAACTGGTCAAAGATAATGTATTTTTGAAAATGCATTTTTAATAAGGGCAATATACATGAAATAAAAATAGGCACCACATGAATTACCTTTCTGAGAATCAGGTTTACTTCCTATTGAGTGACTGTCATTTCTTGATGTCTGCTCTCTATTTGATTCTGAGACTTGAGAGTGAAGGCTGATTGTGTCATCATCTGATGGCTGAAAGGAGTAAATACAAAGCACAAATGAGGCATTTGAAACGGAATAAAATTAAGTTGCTTTGGGTGGCTCAGTGGTTGAGCATCTGCCTTCGGCTCAGGGCATGATCCCGGAGTCCTGGGATCAAGTCCCACATCAGGCTCCCCATAGGGAGCCTGCTTCTCCCTCCGCCTATGTCTCTGCCTCTCTCTCTCTGTGTCTCTCATGAATAAATAAATATATCTTTTAAAAAACAATAATTAAGTTGCATTAATTTCACATGGGATATGTAGAATATCTGCTTTATAGCTCCAGTTCTCAAACCAAAAATTAATATGCTAAAATTTACTGTTCTGTTTCTAAAAATGTACATGTCCTTTGTCATTTGAAGTCATAAAATCCAATAATGATCATTTTTTAAGTAAAATTAATCAAGTGTGTGCAAGTGTCTACCTATTTCAAAATAGGTATTTTATTTCTTAAAATAAAATAGATCAACAAAAGAAAAGACTTACTTCTGTTGTAGATAATCGTTTCTCTCCATTATCACTTCCAATTCCAGAGTCAGGGCCATGATTTTTATTTGGATAAAAATCTTCCATACTATGAAAATAGAAATTCTAAGGGAAATTAGGGTTTCCTTCTTAAATAAATACATAAATAAATACATAAATAAAATTTCCCTAGATAATACAGAACATATACTCCTGATGTCTAAGATCCTTAAAGACATGAAGGGAAAATATCAGAAATCTTCCTATAAATATTTTACTAATATCCCTCATGTAATATTTTCCATGCATTTACTATTGTAAAGTGTCAACTGTTGGGGCACCTGGGTGGCTCAGTCAGTTAGGCATCAAACTCTTGGTTTCCATTCAGGTCATGATCTCAGCGTTGTGGGATCAAGCCCCAAGTTGGGTACCACACTCAGCACAGAGTCTGCTTAAGATTCTTTTGCCCTCCCTTCCCCTCTCTCTCTGTTCCTTCCCCTCACCAGCTCCTGTGCACATGTGCACTCTCTCTTGCTCTATCTCTAAAAAGTAAATAAATAAAATCTTTAAAGTGTCCATTGTTGGGATCCCTGGGTGGCGCAGCAGTTTGGCACCTGCCTTTGGCCCAGGGCGCGATCCTGGAGACCCGGGATCGAATCCCACATCGGGCTCCCGGTGCGTGGAGCCTGCTTCTCCCTCTGCCTGTGTCTTTGCCTCTCTCTCTCTCTCTCTCTCTCTCTCTCTCTCTCTCTCTCTCTGTGACTATCATAAAAAAAATAAATAAATAAATAAAGTGTCCATTGTTAACCTATTACTTCTCCTGAGAGATTCAAAAAAGCAGAGAGTCCTGCTAGAAAATAACCCTTATGAAAGAACTTTCTATTTTTCTGGTTTAACAAATTTCATCATAGAACATTGAAAAAATTTTTAACTTCAATTCAGTTTCTTCATTAGCTCTAAAAATATGCTTTAGCTTTATAAATAACACCCATATGAAAATTAAGAAAAAATGCAAAAAAAACGTGTGCAAAGCATTAAATAAGTAATTGTTTTAGTATGAGGATAGAGCTGTCCTTACAAATTTCTGAATTACCCACCAGTATGCCACCCAGGTTGCAAAATATTTTTCACTTTAATTTCCAAATTTACATATATGCAAATTTGCATTGCTTTATACAGACCATTTTTTATGTGCCAGGAATTATGCTAAGTGCTTTAAAGATGATACCTCAAACATGCCTTATGAAAATTCTAGCAGGTTGGTAGTGTTTTCTGATTTTGCAGATGAGGAAACAGGCCAGGACAGATTGAACAAGTTACCCAATGACATGCAACTTGCAAATGGCAGTTTAAATTTGATCCCAAATTATCTAATACTAAAGTCCCTGATCTTAATCACCATGCTATATTTCTTCCTTAAATACTTATTTGTATGCTTTTCATGAGTGTATCAATAAACTTAGGTAAGCAATTACAAGTAAGTGGCAGACACTATGTTGAATGATTGGAATGAAATGAGATGAATTAAAAAATGTTTGGCCTCAAAACCTTCCAGCCAGAGGGAAAATATGTTTATATATTTTGAAAACTATGAGAAAGGTAAATACAAGGTACTATGAGAAAAGAGAAATCAATTAATTTTTGGTAAGGTTAGGAAAGGCCTCAGCCAAAAAACTGGCATTTGAGCTTAGTCATGAAGGATGAAGAGAGGCAATACTTGCTAGCATTTATTGGGTGTCTACACTGTATTAGCTACTGTGCCAGGTACTCATCATATTTTATTTATAATCCTTACATTCTACAATTTACACATTATTTCTTTCTAAAAATTAGGATAATAAAGCTTAGAAAAGTTAACTTCCTGGGGGGAAAATGTAAATTTACTAATTATCATTTCTTGAACTAGTTGCCAAGTACTTATTTAATTCTCACAACAAGCTTATGAAATGGGTATTACTAACATTTTAAATAAACAAACAGGCTCAGAGAGATTAAATAACTTACACAGGCTACAGACGAATTAAGAGGTTAAACCATGATTAGAAGCAAAATCCATCTGACACCACTGCACAATATCATACACATGGACTCTACTAAAATATATATGTATTTGTAATACTAGACAATGATACTAATAAGCTAATTGTTGAGGAATTGTTTGGGTAAGACACTATGTTAACTACCCTACGTACATTATTTAATCTAATCCTGACAGCATCCGTATAATTATTTTCCTTTTATATATAAGAAAACTAAAAAAAAAAAAAAAAGAAAGAAAACTAAGGACTAGAGATGTTACGACACAAGGACATAAAGTTATCAAGAGTCGGAGAAGGGCTTCATGAGCATATATGTCTGACTCCAAAAGCTGATATACTTAACTACAATAATGCTTATCTATGTAGAATTAAGAGTTTAAAAAATAGTCAAGGCATGGAAGGTTATTATTCTAGGTAGTAAGAACCACAGAGTCAAAGGCATGAGTGTAAAAATAGAAAGTGCATACAAGAATTTTCTACACAGTTTAATACAGGCTGTGAGTAAGAAATTGCACACCTAAGAGTCACCTCATTAAGTAAACTCTATTAACCTGCACTATCCTGTATAGTAGCCACTAGCCATTATATGGCTATTGAGCACTTGAAATGTGGGTAGTCTAAATTGAAATGTGCTATAAATGAAAAATGCACACCAGATTTAAATGATGTAATATAAAGAAAAAGAACATGAAATATCTTACTAACATTTTCATATGAAATACATGTTGAAATTATATTTTAGATATACTGGGTTAAGTAACATATTATTAAAATTAATTTCACCTGTTTGATTTTTAATTTTTTTAATGGATTATAAGAAAATGCAAAACTATGTATGTAGCTCATATTACATTTCTATTGGACATCATTGCTAGAGACCATCTCCAAATATATCTCAATTCTGTCCACTCCTTTTCTTTTTTTTCTTTTTATTTTTCTTTTTATTTTTTTTTCACTCCTTTTCAATTCTACTGCAATCACCCTATTCAAGACCTTTTGATCTCTTGGAAGTACTTCAACAACCTAACTAGTCCCTGTGATTCTGCTTTTATTTTCAATCTATTCTCCTTATAAGAGCCAAAATAGCTTTTCTTTTTTTTTTTTTAACATAAATCAGATCATGCTATTTCCCTGCTTGTAACCGTCCACTGACTTCCCACTGAACTGTAAGTAAAATTCAAACTCCTTATCACAGCCTTCAAAGCACCCACATGACTTGAGCCCTGGCTCCTTCTCCAAAATCAACTTGTACATCTGTACCCTTCAGCCTCTCTGCTCCAATCATGCTAGCCTTTCAGTTTCGTTAACACACCAAGTTTCTTCCTAACTTAAGGCCTTATCACATGTCATTCTTTTTGTCTGAAATGCTCTTCCTCCTGGTCTTTACACAGGTAGCTTTTCTCCTTTCAGGTCTTGACTTAAAACCTCACCTTCTCAAAGTGACATTTCCTGACCACACTCCTGAAACATGTTCCTTTCCTTCATAGTACTTGCCACAGTTTGAAATGGCATGCGTGTGTGTGTATTCTATTTCTTTCCTTTGTTTGCTATCTCCTCCACTATGAGGGCCAACACCAAGGTGTGTATCATTCAACAAAACATACCCTGAATCTGACAACATGCATTCAACTGATACTTGGGGTTTTTTTCAACTGATATTTGTAAAATAAATAAATGACTAGTATAATGTATGCCATTACTAAATTCATTTTTAAATAAATATAAAGCAAACTGGTAGAGATTAAAGTATGAATAAGGTGTAATTTTTATAGAATTGTTTGGTCTATTATCATCCATAATATGAAACAAAATAATCCTTAGGAATTGAATATAATGTTTAAATACTTAATTCTACTTAGGCAACAGAAATATTCAAGAAAATGCCCCATTTGGGCATTCAAGAACGATACTTAAAATACTGCCATTTCAATCAGTCTAAACTTCACAAATAAAATGACAAACGTTCAACATTTCAGGCAAGAATGTAGTCTCCCAGGGTGGCTCAATGGTTTAGCGCCACCTTCAGCCCAGGGCCTGATCCTGGAGACCTGGGATCGAGTCCTATGTCAGGCTACCTGCATGGAGCCTACTTCTCCCTCTGCCTGTGTCTCTGCCTCTCTCTGTGTCTCTCGTGAATAAATAAATAAAATCTTTAAAAAAAAAAAAAAAGAATATAGTCTCCCTTTCTGCAGTCTTACCCCATTCCAAATTATTTTCCATACTACTGGATGGAATTGTTTTCATAAAATCTTTCAGACCAACCTACATCCCAAAAGGATGAATTAAAAACAGATAATCAAATCTACCATTTCAAAATCTCCTGAGGAGAAAAAGACCAATATCATACAGAATATCAATGATAAATCATCTCTGATCCAGACATAAAGAATAAAGTATATGAAGAAAAGAAGAAAGGTACCTCAAAATGTCTTGTTCTTCCACTAACCAGTTCAAAGTCAAATTCTACTACTTATTACAATGCTGGTTAGTACAATAGAGTGATTATAGCATTAAGTTAACAATTGTCAAGTGCTGAGAAATTAGTGTTTCTGTTCTATAATATCAAACATTTACATTTTACTACTAAAATATTAGTAATAGTATTCTGAGAAAATCCCAAATTTATTCTAGTATCACAGAGGTTCCTTCTATGATGGTGATATTCACTTCAGTCAATTATTGATTTTAACACTGGGCCAATCAACCTAAGTATATTCAGTACTCTCAAGATGAATAAATATCTTTTACATATGGAGAAGACACCAATCATGAAATGAGTCTATAAGAATATTACATTACCTGTCTGTGAGAGGCTGGGACGGCATTCTTTTACTCAGTGATGGAAGATCCAGAGAATCTGGCTTCTTATCCATTCTGCAACATGCTTGGATATTTAAGTATTTAAATATGTGTACTTTACCCTTTAAACATATCTGTCAATAAATAATTGAGAAAGTAGATTTAATTATGTACGTCCAAATATAGAGGCGCCTGGGTGGCTCAGTGGTTGAGCATCTATCTGCCTTTGGCTCAGGTCAGGATCCCAGGGTCCTGGGATCAAGTCCAACATCAGACTCCCTGCAGGGAGCCTGCTTCTCCCTCTGCCTGTGTCTCTGCCTCTCTCTGTGTGTCTCTCACAAATAAATAAATAAAACCTTTAAAAAAAAAAAAACAGGGCAGATTGGGTGGCTCAGCGGTTTAGCGCCGCCATCAGCCCAGGGCGTGATCCTAGAGACCCGGGATGGAGTCCCACGTCAGGCTCTGTGCATGGAGCCTGCTTCTCCCTCTGCCTATGTCTCTGCCTCTCTCTCTCTCTCATGAATAAATAAATAAGATCTTTAAAAAAAATTTTTAAGGATGGAACTGGAGGGTATTATGCTGAGTGAAGTAAGTCAATCGGAGAAGGACAAACAGTGTATGTTCTCACTCATTTGGGGAATATGAATAATAGTGAAGGGGAATATAAGGGAAGGGAGAAGAAATGTGTGGGAGATATCAGAAAGGGACACAGAACATAAAGACTTCTAACTCTGGGAAATGAACTAGGGGTGGTGGAAGGGGAGGAGGGCGGGGGGTGGGGGTGAATGGGTGACGGGCACGGAGGGGGACACTTGACGGGATGAGCACTGGGTGTTATTCTGTATGTTGGTAAATTGAACACCAATAAAAATTAATTTATAAAAAAAAATTTTAAATAAAAAACACAAAAATAAATGTCACCTAGCTATTTATATATTTTAATAATCTTAAATTATGCTAAGACATCACAATCATAATAGGTACTTTACGTATTTTAATAATTTGTACTGCTTACATTTTATGAAAACATCTGACAATGATAACCAACTAAAATTCTATTGCTTTCTATTCTTACTAGAAAAAAGTTATTTTTTCTGTATATCACTAAAGTTTTCTCATTAAAAGTACAAAATACAAACAACTAAATCTATAAAATCAACAATTCATGAAAGTTGCTTTTATTAGGAAAAAATGAAAAGAAATATATTTTCATTGCAGTGATGAGAACAGAAAAAAAAAAATAACCATGTAATTCTTTAAAGTAATCTTATCAGAACCACTAAATTGTTTGGCCTAAACACTGGAAGAAAGGTAAAATCTAAAGAATGTAAATATAGGAAAAATGAATTTGTTGAAAGGTGCATTAGTAGGCCAATTAGAATAAACTAAATTTTTAAATGGCCAATTCAACTAAGATAATATTGTGAAAAGTTATTTTCATTGGAGATGAAGAAAAGGAATAATAAGGGATAAAATACTATGTGAAAGAAAGTATTCTGTATAAAAAAGACAATGAACAGTAAGAAAACACTAAGTCGGTTTTACAAATGTTAACTTCAGTCACCATAAGTAATATCAAATAAGTATTTCTGAAAAACTATAATCAAGGGGCACCTGGCTGGCTCAGTTGGAAGAACATACAACTCTTGATTTTGTGGGGTCAAGAGTTCAAGCCCCACCCTCGGTGTAGTACTTTAAAGAAAAAAGTTAAGAAAACTATAATAAAAAATGTTTTGTTTTATGGACTCACATAACCTATAAATATATGCAAAAATAATCAACAAAGAAAACAGTAAGAAACAAAAGAGTAAGAAAAGTACATTTAAAGTAATTATCATCCCTGGGATAAAGGAAGAATGTTTCTTAGATAACAGATACCAAATCTGACCTGACCACTGAAAAATTTCATTTAAAAAGAAAAACTGGGCAGCCCAGGTGGCTCAATGGTTTGGCACTGCCTTCGGCCCAGGGTGTGATCCTGGAGACCCGGGATCGAGTCCCATGTCAGGCTTCCTGCTTGGAGCCTGCTTCTCCAACTCTGTATCTCTGCCTCTCTCTCTCTCTCTCTCTCTCTCTCATGAATAAATAAATAAAATCTTAAAAAAAAAAAAGGAAAAACTGCTGAGCTATTAGAATACAAATACATTACCAATTAAAACATACTCCATCATCTGGATAAACCAAAACCAATTATCTTTCATTACCAAATTAACAACTGGTGAATTATTTTGTTTCATAAATTTTTTAAAAGATTTTATTGATTGATTGATTGATTGATTGATTGGTTTATCTGAGAAAGAGAGCATGAGCAGGGAGAGGGACAAGCAGACTCCTCGCTGAGCAAGGAGCTCTATACAGAGCTCAATCCCAGGACCCTGAGATCATGACCTGAATTGAAGTCACATGCTTAACCGACTGAGCCACCCAGGCACCACCTTTCATAAATTTTTTTTTAAAGATTCTATCTATTTGGGGATCCCTGGGTGGCGCAGCGGTTTAGCACCTGCCTTTGGCCCAGGGCGCGATCCTGGAGACCCGGGATCGAGTCCCACGTCGGGCTCCCGGTGCATGGAGCCTGCTTCTCCCTCTGCCTGTGTCTCTGCCTCTCTCTCTCTCTCTGTGTGACTATCATAAATAAATAAAAATTTAAAAAAAAAAAAAAAAAAAAAAAAAAGATTCTATCTATTTATTCATGAGAGACAGAGAGAGAGAGGCAGAGACACAGGCAGAGGGAGAGGCAGGCCCCATGCAGGGAGCCTGATGTGGGACTAGATCCCAGGACTCCAAGATCACGCCCTGGGCCGAAGGCAGGCGCTAAACCGCTGAGCCACCCAGGGATCCCCCATAAATTTTTTATTGTAGTAATTCGTGTACACAGTTTCAAAATCAAAGAGAATTATAAAACTGATAACAAAACATTAAACCCCCATTCCACTCGTTTCAGTCTCTAAAACCTAGTCCCCACATATCAACTCTTAGTTGGTTTTCTGCTATTTATTTTTATATTTATCAGTAACATGGTTCTACTATTTTATTTTCTAGTTATAGATCTTATTTATTGAGGTTTTCCTATGGAAAACAAGGACTTAGATTTCTTACACTACCACTACCCACCACTATCAAATATCATCAACACCACCATACCTAACTCACCACCTCACCTTACTTCCTCCTTCTTCAGAAGCATAGCATACTGGTTAGAGCATGGACTGGAGTCAGACTGCCTAGGTTTGAAACCAGCTGTACCTCATGCTAGCTATGTGGCACTGAATAAATTCCTTAAATTCTATGTCTTTGCCTCCTCATATATAAAATGAGGTATAATGACAATACCTGTTCTATAGGGTTACTTCAAGAATTAAATAAATTAATGCATGTAAAGTACCTGGAACACAGTAGGCACTAGATATATCTCTGCTATTTTATAACTATATCACAATTTCTCGTTAAATCAAAATCTAGTATTTACAGTATTATGACCAAGAAAACATTCTGCTGAGGCCAGGAACAATAGACATCTGGCCACTGACACAAGGGAGAGAATCTGAGAGAATCTACCTACATATTCTACTACTGAAAAAAACCCAGGCTTCTGCTAGGGCAAGTGAGGGCCAATCACTTAGCTGCAAAGCTAAGGATAAGAATCTGAGAGTGTAAGTCTTAGTCCTGTGGTGCCCAATACAGTGGCCACTAGTCACATAAAGCTTTTTAACTTTAAATTAATCAAAATAAGATTACATTTAAATTTGGGTTCTTTAGTCGAGCCAACCATAATTCAATTAATCAATAGCCACGTGTGGCAAGCAGCAAGAAAAAAGCAACCCTTCTTCTGGATGGATGCAAACCATGATCCAGGGACCATAGCTTGGAAGTAGATTAGGGATTGTCATTTCACTGCCATATGCCTCCTTGGCCAGATTCTCTCATGCCAGTGTAAGTAAAGACCCTAGTTTCTGCTATTTCATCCATCCTCCATTTTCCAAAATTCTGTTGCCATCTCTCCTCTACTACCCTCTTCTCTCTCATTCTTTGGCTTTATGGGTTTATATCTTAGTATGATCCTTTACAATCATTTCAGTAGATTCCATGTGGATTTAATCCTCCAACTAAAAATAAAAGGCTGAATCATTACTTTTCCACTCGTATCTTGTACTTTCTGTTAGGATTCCATCTATCAGTGCTAAGAATCTGTTCCAATCAATCATACAACAAATGTCAAGTAGATACATACTAGAGTAGGAGAGATGCAAAAAGACTCCACAGTCTATGTTTTTAAAAGAACACTGACAAACAGAATTACAGATATGGGTTTTCTAAATCCTCTTCTCTAGAAGCTAAGCTAAAATTCCTACCAAAGTGCAAAAGTTACTTCTCAGAAAAACTCCTTTAGACAATAAAGCCTCAATAACAAAGTGACTCCTAATTCTGATGTCTTTTGATTTATCAATTTGATGTATAATTATGAATAAAAATAGAAGAAATAAGTATCATATTTTTATTACAAACCTGTGCTGGTGGTACTTGCAATGGATTGTTATCCAAAATCATTACTTGTAAATGATGCAGCTTCCTGTAACAAACTGGGATTTCGGTCACTTTATTACAAGAGAAATCCAACTTGACTAAGGGAAGATCTCCTAATTCTGTTTAGAAATGAAAAATAATTAAGTTAAATTTGACACAGTTCCTCTCTTATTCATTTCAGTAAAAATAATGAGCATCTTACCATCTGGCAACACATGAAGATTATTTCTTCTTATATTTAGCTCTCTAAGTGAATGTAATTTTCCCATTTGTTGGGGAAGGACTTGAATCTCATTGCAGCTAATATCCTAAGGAAAATAAGAAAATTATAACAAACTGAGAAATACAGACCTATTTCCTTTTTAAAATTAAAGCACACAGCTAATAGCTGTTACCTATTACCTACAGTGCAAAGTTACCTCAAATATTGTTTCTCTAAAAATGGATTATCTGGCAGATTTCTATTTATATTACATCATGAAGTCAATCTAGCACAGTTAACAAATGTTTCTGTGCAACATTGTGAAGTTATAATTTAGTACTACATAATTCAGCCTTTTGGAAATCTCAACTGAAGACCGTTCTCACCAACCAAAACCAGAAATAAGGATAATCCAGGTACTCTTCATTCAGAGATAAAATAAAAAACAACTATCAATCACTATGATAATCTGTCAATTACAGTAGTTTTGAGTTACTCTGTTGGGCAGAAACTGAGAGTCAAGGATTTACAGACTTGAGCTAGAGAATCAAAGACTATGTATGGACCTCTTTCTCAAAGGGATACAAAATATGAGGAGTTACAATCTCAAAATTCTGTGGTTCACATCATAACCCAATGACTTTCTAGCACCGAATCTGAAATATCTCAAGGTTAAATGAAAATCCAAGTCCTGATTCAAAGGTAAATGATACCAGTTTTCCATAATAAGAAACAGCTTAATTGTGCTCTCCTCTTCCTCCCCTTGAAGAATAATCTGCAACAAGATCTCATAGGGCAGTCATTCCAGACACATTGCAAATGAAATTCACATTCGACTGCAACTGCCCTTAATTTCCAACTTTCACTGGAAATGATATTAGTTAGCATGGAGGGAGAAGAGTGGCACATACATTCAGTTTTACCAAAAATAAAAAAAGCAGGAGGGTAAATTCAAAAGAATATTAAAGCCGTGTAGGGAAAATCCAATACAACTAAGCTGATAAGAAAATGTATCCTACATACTTCTTTCAAATTGTATCTAAGGCATCTTCATTCAGTGACAAACACTTATCATCAAATACCAATTATTTGCTAGGCCCAGTTTTAGGTGCTGGGGACACACCAAGAAATAAAGCCAACCAAAATTCCTACCCTCACAGCTCTTTGTGGAGCTTATATTCTAGCAAAGAGAGTAGATTATATAATATGACAGGTGCTGCCATTATTATATATTACATAACATGATAAGTGCTGCGAATAAGAAAAACAGCAAGATAAAGGAAAATGGCAGTCTAATAGCAATGAGGAGGGATATTAACAATTTAGATTGCCTCACAGAGGGGTGCCTCGGTGGCTTGGTAGGTTAAGCGTCTGCTCTGATTGGCTAGGATCCTGATCTTGGGAGTCCTGGGATCAAGCCCTATGTTGGGCTCCCTGCCGGGTGACGAGTCTGTTTCTCCCTCTCCCTCTGCCCCTTCCCTGCTTGTGCTTTTTTCCTCATTCTCTCTCTCTCTCAAATAAATAAAATCTTTTTTAAAAAAATGTTTTAAAGATTGCCTCATGGAGAAGCTGATGTTTGAGCAGTATTAACAGAGCCATTCCAATATTTAAGAAAGGAACATAAGGAACAATAACTGTAAAAAGACTCTTAGGCAAAACATGCCTGACATGAACTAAAGAACAGCAAGAAATCCAGTGTAACTAGAAGGAAGTGGGCAAGGAAGGAGACTAAACTGGGGAGAGGGGTACAACTTAGGCTTTTACTCGGAGAGATCTGAACAGGAACCAGAAACTTTTTAAGACTTTACTTAATTATTCATGAGAGACACGGAGAGAGAGGCAGAGATATAGGCAGAGGGAGAAGAAGGCTCCCTGCCAGGAGCCCAATGCAGGACTGGATGTTGGAACTCCAGGATCATGCCCTGAGCCGAAGGCAAACGCCCAACCGCTCAGCAACCCAGGTGTCCAGGAACCAGAAACATTTAAACAGAGATATGACATGATCTGATTTATGTTTTGACAGGATCACCTTAACTGCCATGTTGAGAATAGACTATTATCCAAATGAAAGATAATAAAATTTGGGGAAATGGCCTTTAAATTACTACTACTGCAAGGTACCTGGGTGACTCAGTCAGTTAAGCATCTGCCTTAGGCTCAGGTCATGATCCTGGGGTCCTGGGATGGAGCCTCACATCAGGTTTCTCCTGCTCTCCCTCTCCTTCTCCCTGCTACTACCCCCTGTTGCACTCTCTCTCTCTCTGTCAAATGAATAAATAAAATCTTTTAAAAAATTAAAACGACTGCTTCCTATAAAAGAGTTTCTATGGGCAGCCCGGGTGGCTCAGTGGTTTAGTGCCGCCAACAGCCCAGGGTGTGATCCTGGAGACCCGGGATAGAGTCCCACGTGGGGTTCCCTGCATGGAGCCTGCTTCTCCCTCTGCCTGTGTCTCTGCCTCTGTGTGTGTGTCTCTTGTGAATAAATAAATAAAATCTTAAAAAAAAAAAAGTTTCTAATACTGGAGATTTCCATACAAAAAATTTATAGAAATTTGATAGCTGCCCAGAAGAAATAAACCCAAGCACAAAAAAACTGACCTACTCACCAATGGATACTCTACAAAATACTCTACTGGATATTGGAACCTAAGTATATTTCCTAGGTTTCTAATGACAGAATTTCACTGTAGTTGGCTACCACATTCTTGTGGAAGACTGTCGACAGGTAATACCCATAAATTCATTATGTGCTTTACAACTGTCAATTAGCCATCCTAATGCTATCTATCCACTGTTACTTATTTCAAAAATTTAAATAAAAGCACAATAATTTTATAGTGCCTAGTGAAATATGGTATTTCATAGTTTAAAAACATTCTATGTAGCTAAAAATACTAGAATAAATCTAAAAGTCCTAAATATTTTTTAAATTTTATTTAAAAACTATCTCTTTTAAAATTTATTTATATCTCTTTTAAATTTTATTTAAAAACTATCTGCAATTTAGAACACAGGGCCAAAAACTGAATGAAATAAAAGAAAAAGAACTTTTACAGCTATAGAATAAAGTCTAACAGTGTCCAAGTCAAAGAAGATATCGGTACCCTTTTATTATGAATTTGTTAAATCACCTCCAGAATCTTCTGTTCATTTGTAAATATAATGTTAAAAAGGACTTTAATAAAAAGAAACATTTTCAGGATAGAAATAGCTAAAAATATGTGGAAAGGGAGGAGATTGGGGGATGGGGTGACTGGGTGATGGATACTAAGGAGGGCACGGTGATGGGATGAGCACTGGGTGTTATACTATATGTTGGCAAATTGAATTTAAATAAAATAAATAAAAATAAATAAACAAAAAGCTAAAAATAAAAAGTAACAAAGAATAGAAAAACAGAAAATATAGAAAGGAATAAAAGTAACAATTATGTTTAAGCTACAGAAAAACAGACCTTAGAGTTTGGTGAAATGGAGAGTAGATATATAACAGATTACAAATATCTGAAGGGAAGAAAAGTTGTCATTATCTATACTTTTTCACATGGCAGTCCCAGGACCAATAGATAAAAGTGATAGGGGCATGTATTTTTGTTCAAAATAATAAAGATAACAGAGCTTTGCAAAAGAGAATAAGGTATGCCTCAGTGACACACAAAAAGAGATTTATCCACCACTGAAGCTATATAACTAGATGTGTCAGGGATCCTGTATTAGCAAGTGGCTAAAATCCTATGATTCTAAAACAGTGTAAGACTAAGTTCAAGGCAGTCTCCTTGTATTATAATTGCACATGCATTAATGAATAAAAGAAATAAAAATATGACATTCCTGAAATTTCTGTTCACTACATCCTATTTGCACATTAATTTGCCACTATAAATAATCATGGATAAATTCCCAAGAAAACTTTTGGCCTTCCACACATAATAAAGTCATACTTAAGAATACATTACTCAAGATAAAACAAAAAATAAAGAGCAAGGCACATTGTAGGACATGGAAGTGCTAGGAAGAAAGAAATGTCTTCTGCCTTCCAAGTCCTTCAAGCTGGACTAAGAATCAAATTAACATGAAACAAATTAACAAGAGAAAATCACATTTAGATTCATAAATATGGAGAATCCATACAAACATGAAATTCCAAAGACAGGCAGCAAGAGGCCTATGTGACATCCAGAGCTAAGCAGAGAGGTAGGAGTCTGGAGACACAAAGGGGAGGAAGACCATCATTAGCAGGACAGTGAGAGATGTTTGGAAAACAAAGTGCTCTTGATTCAAGTAAGTGCCTTAGGTAAAGATGAATCTCTTTTAATAGGCTCTTCTTTCCAATGTAAATTTAGGATGTTGAGGGGGAGGTAAAGAGATTTTCTTAAACCAATTTTTTTATTACTTTCAACTCAAAATAATCATGCCAAAGTAACCCATCTTGAGACCACCTGCCCTTAGCCCCCTACAGAAGTAACAGAAAAATGAGAAAATAAGTCAATACTTTAAGGATATACCTATGTTCCCCTCAAAGTTCAATGTCCTTTAATACCTAAAATGTTCTGTTCAAGGTAATTAAATTATTCCTATATTTCCACAGCCAATTGTATATAATGGCCTCTCCATCTCGGTCCCAAAAGTGTTATAAAATCACATGGGAATATAGGATAAGCAGAGTTATTTTGTTCATTCTATTGTTTGCAGGCATTGTACTCTCTTCCTCTTATCCCCTTTCTCCAAGGCTTTCATAGTAGCCATGTAAAACCTTTTTAAAAAAGGTATCTTTTCCTAGTCTACGAACTTTACTGTCCCCAAAATGAACAGACAAATGCTTATTGGTTTGAAAAGCATTTCTTAAAGCAAATAAACAAACCTTCTGACTTCACTAGGACTAAGGACCAACCAGGCTTTTATTGTGGCTGTGAACTAAAATTAGACATAAGCAACAGTATCTGAAATTTTACTAAGGTGAACATAAGCATATACCAAATTATTCTTTTAAAAAGATTATACTGAAATTTCATAAAGAGCAATCGTCCAAAATATAAAGGTACGTGTTATGTACATTATATATCATACACGGTCAATGCAACTATTTTACTCACCAATTCCATTAAATCTTTTAACTTCCCAATTTCTTCTGGGATGGACACTAGTTTATTATTACTGACGACCAAAACTTTAAGGGGAAGATCAAATAGGTATTTTGGCAAAGTTGATAAAAGATTTCGACTGAAAAGAATAAGAAAGTCTCATTACGGGATAAGTCTGAAATCTCTCACGTTATGTTGAAAAAGAACAAATCACCTCAAAAGTAAATAAAAAGCTTTCATCAAATTATGATTATCATTTAATGAGTGCTTACTTTGTATCACACTAAAATTCTTAAATGCACTATGTCATTTAATACTCATATTAACCCATGAGACACGTAGTACTATTTATCTCCATTACATGAATTAGAAAACAAAGGTTAAAACTGGCTAAGTGACTTGCCCAGTCACAAAAGATCATAAAGCCTGTGTTGTTACCTATGATATTGTCTTACATATCATCAGTTTTCAAAACCCAGAATCATTCTTCTCAACTAGAAAATGCCAGAACCTTGATCTCTAGTATTATTTCACTGCACTCAATACTTCCATGCCTCTAACAAAGGACAGGTTCCATGGATAAGTTTGCATGCACTAAATTCAAATTTATGAAAGAATTAATAGAATTACATCTTCAAAAACATGTAGTAACCCTAACCCATTCCCTTTTCTTATAGGTTTACAGCAGAACAGCCCACTAACACCTTCATCTCAGTTCAAAGTTGATAAAACATTCCTATCTCTGTGGATAAACTTAAATATAACAACAATTAACATTTATTGAGTGCTTACTGTGTGTCAGGCCATGTTCAGAGTACCTCACATGAATTAACTTCACTAATATCATAACAACTGACTTTGGGAAAATAGAGCATCTCATGCTGCCCATTTTACAGAGGAAGAATCAGTCAAAAAGATATTAAGCAAACTGCTCAAAGTCACATAGCTGGTAAGAGACACAGGATTCAGGGACGCCTGGTGGCTCAGAAGTTGATGGTCTATCTTCAGCTCAGAGCATGATCCCAGGGTCCCAGGAAAGAGACTCACATCAGGCTCCCCACAGGAAGCCTGCTTCTCCCTCTGCCTATGTCTCTGCCTCTCTATCTGTGTGTCTCTCATGGAGAGAGAGAGAGAGAGAGAGAGAGAGAGAGAGAGAGAGAGAGAATGCCAGGATTCAAATCTGGGCAATATGGCTCTGTGGTAACCTCAACCTACTGAGGATCAAATTTATATACCAATATAGACTGATCCAAATGATCCCCGCTGTAGACACAATGTTTGTGTACCCCACAAAATTATAATGCTGGAACCTAATCCCCAATGTGATGATATTTGGAAGTGGGGCCTTTGAGAGATGATTAGGTCATAAGAGAGAAGCCCTCATGAACGGGTTTAGACCCCTTATTTAAAAAAAAAAAAAAAAAACACCTTAGAGACCTGCCTTGCTCCCTCTACCAAGTGAGGACAGCTAGAAGATGGCTGCCTACAAACCACCAAATCTTCCAGTGACTTGATCTCGGATTTCTCAGCTGCCAGAAATGTGAAAAATAAGTTTCTGTTATTTATAAGGCACCCAATACATGGTATTCTATCATAGTAGCCCAAACAGACTAAGACAACCCCTCTACCAAAAAAATATAAAGTATACCATTACATTTTACATACTGCCAAGTATTCATAAAAATAAGTTATTATTTTTCCTATTTTTCAAAGAGGCATTTATAGACCTGTACCTAGCTAGCATTTTGAGTAACATGCACAGCCACAAAAACCTAGTGTTGCCCCAAGGAAAAACATCAAGACCTTTCAACTCCCCATGTTATGCCTGCAGAGGACATCCAGAAACACTAGATGGGCTTTATTCATAAGGCACACACTTAAAAAAAAAATGCTCCTAGACCAGCAATCATGGCCAGGCTGCTGGAATGTCAAATATGCCAGGGCCTTGTTATTACTCTTGACACTTTTAGGATCAAACAGATTCCTTGGAAAAGGGGCCAGTATGGAGCACAGAGGGATCTTCCTGCAGAATTCTACTGAAAAAAGGAGTGTTATATAGGTAAAGAGAACTGAAAAACCATCTTACAAGTTTCTCAAAATTTTTTCACCAAAATAAAAAATAACGTAAGTGGGAAAAATATGGCACATACAAGCTCTTTCTAATCTCTCTCAGACAAATAAACGTATAAAAATTGGCCTATTTTGAGGGGCACATAGCTAGCTCAGTTGGTAGAGCATGTGACTTTTGATCTGGGGGTTGTGAGTTCAAGTCCACGTTGAGCCTAGAGTTTACTTTAAAAAAAAAAAGCTGGGGTGGGGGGACGCCTGGGTGACTCAGCGGTTTAGAGCCTGCTTTCAGCCCAGGGTGTGATCCTAGAGTCCTGGAGTCCTGGAATCGAGTCCCGCATCAGGCTCCCTGCATGGAGTCTGCTTCCTGCTCTGCCTATGTCTCTGCCTCTCTCTCTGTGTCTCTCATGAATAAATAAAATATTTTAAAAACAAAATAAAACAAACTGGGACGCCTGGGTGGCTCAGCATTTGGGTGTCTACCTTGGGCTCAGGGCATGATCCTAGAGTCCTGGGGTTGGGTCCCACATTGGGCTCCCTGCATGGAGCCTACTTCTCCCTCTGCCTGTGTCTCTGCCTCTCTCTCTGTCTCTGTCTCTCATGAATAAATAAATAAAATATTTTTTAAAAATGATTCTTTTTTTAACATTTTTAAGGACTCTACACCCAATGTGGGGCTCAAACCCACAACCCGGAGATCAAGAATCACACATTCCACCAACTGAGCCAACCAGATGCCCTGAAAATGATTCTAAGTAAGTCACAATTTACCAATTTCCATTCAATGTCAGTAATCTGACAGAACCATCTTTCTCTTATACTTATGAAATGTTGACTCTAGGGCAGCCCCGGTGGCACAGCGGTTTAGCACCGCCTGCAGCCCAGGGCATGATCCTGGAGACCCAGGATCGAGTCCCGCATCAGGCTCTCTGCGTGGAGCCTGCTTCTCCCTCTGCCTGTGTCTCTGCCTCTCTCTCTCTCTCTCTCTCTCTGTCTCTATGAATAAATAAAATCTTTAAAAAAAAATGTTGACTCTATTATAAATAGAGAGTAATAGCTAAGAATGAGAGTTCTAATACTGCTTTGATCTGAATCTTGGCTCTACCACTTGGGGTGTGTGTGTGTGTGTGTGTGTGTGTGTGTGTACACATGCATATGACTTTGGCCATATATTTATTTATGCTTCACTGTTTCCTCATTTGTAATTCAAGGTTAATAACAGTACCTCTCTCAGGGCACCTGGGTGGCTCAGTCACCTAAGCATCTGCCTTCAGCTCAGGTCCTGATCCCAGGGTCCTGGGATCTGAGCCATGTATCAAGATCCCTGCTCAGTGGGGAATCTGCTTCTCCTCTCCCTCTGCCCCTCCCCTTGCTCATGCTCACAGGCACGCGCTCTCTCTCTCTCTCTCAAATAAATAAAATCTTTAAAACAAAACAACAGTGCCTCTCTCAAAATGCTGTTGTGAAGAGGAGATGAAGTAATATGGATAAGGTATTTGTAACATTGTCTGGCACGTAGTAAGTAGGCATCTATTTTTTTTTAAGATTTTATTTATTCATGAGAGACACAGAGAGAGAGAGAGAGAGAGAGAGAGAGAGAGGCAGAGACACAGGCAGAGGGAGAAGCAGGCTCCATGCAGGGAGCCTGATGTGGAACTCGATCCTGGGTCTCCAGGATCATGCCCTGGGCTGAAGGCGGCGCTAAACCACTGAGCCACTCGGGCTGCCCAGTAAGCATCTATTAAGTATTGACCTCAACTGTCACATCTACTTCTTACCACACCAACACTCCCATCCCAATCTATCCATCCTTAGAGTAGCAAGGAGAACTCACAAGAGTGAACAATATAGCTCAAGTGTTTCTTCATAAAGTTTCACTTTAACCAAGAATGCATATAAATAAATTGGCATTGGGCAGCCCCGGTGGCTTAGTGGTTTAGCGCTGCCTTCAGCCAAGGGTGTGATCCTGAAGACACGGTATCAAGTCCCATGTCAGGCTCCCAGCACGGAGCCTGCTTCTCCCTCTGCCTCTCTCTCTCTCTCTCTCTTTCTGTGTGTGTGTGTCTCTAATAAAATAAAAAATCTTTAAAATAAATAAATTGGCATTGTGGTGCTATGATTTCAGGAAAATATTTCTATTCTAAATAAAGCCTTGCTACTCAAAGTGATAAGGACAAATAAGTACTGGCATTACCAGGGGGCTTCTTAGAAATGCAGACCCCACTGCAGACCTATGTAATCAGATGTTTTAATCCCCATGTGAATCTTCTGCAGATTAAAGGCTGAGATGAGAAGCACTGCTGTCAAGAACAAGACCAAACACCTATAAAGTAATGTGAACATATAACAAATACCCAAATAAGATACTTTTGAGATAAATATAGGTTACATAGCCAAACCAAACACATTCCTTTGTTACTAAAAAGGATTAGAACTATAATAAAAAACAAAATCTACCAAAAAAATTTTTCCTTACCTAATGTTAAGATATGTTAACATCTGCAGGTTTTTAATGGCTTCAGGAATGGTTTTGATGCAATTATGATATAAATTTAATGTCTCAAGAGGTGCAAATAACCAGACATCAGAAGGAATTTCTGTAAAACGATTTCTTGAAAGATCTGAAAAAGAAAAGTAATATTTGAGTGCCAAACATACACCTGCATCTATTATAATCAACAGAACTATTTTCATGTTTACTGAATCACTTAGAATCTAAGCAACTACTTAAAATATTATAAAATATGGGGCACCTGGCAGGCTTAGTTGGTAGAGCACAGGACTCTTCATCTCAGGATTGTGAGTTCAAGCCCCACATTGGGCACAAAGCTTACATACAAATATACATAAAATATTATAAAACATGGGGGCACCTGGGTGGCTCAGCCGGTTAAGCATCTGACTCTTAACTTTGCCTCATGTCATATTCTCAGGGTCCTGAGATATGGCCAGAATCTGCTTATCCTCCCTCTGCTCCTTCTCCTGCTCTTTCTCTCTCTCTCTCTCTAACAAATAAAATCTTTTATTTTTTTTAAAGATTTTATTTATTCATGAGAGACACAGAGAGGGCAGAGACATAGGCAGAGGGAAAAGCAGGCTTCCTGTGGAGAGACTTGATCCCAGGACCCCAGGATCACAACCTGAGCCAAAAGCAGACACTCAACCACTGAGCCACCCAGGTGCCCCCAAATAAAATCTTTTAAAAATATATATTATAAAATATTATCCACCACGAAGGCAAAATTAATCATATTGAAATATATTCATTTAAAGCCTGTTTATTAAATTGTACTTGATATCTTTAAAATTTATCTTTTAAAACATCAATGAGGAATTCTCTCTAATCTTTTCAAAAACACAAAAAATCCTCCCCAGATCCCACATCCCCCACTACCTCTTCCTCCTTCACAGCCAAACTTACATAAATCTACAACACAACTAAATCTCTTACCATGGACTTCTCAACCCACCCTTGGTTTCTATTCACTTTCATGCCCACCAAAGTCACTAACAGCCTCCATGTCAATAACAACTCAGCTACATTGAAACATTTCCCTTCTCTTGGTTTGAAAGACTACACTATATGCATCACTTCTTATCATCTCTCTTGCTACTTCTTAGTCTCTTGGTAGATTTCCCCCTACCTGTATTGTGACTGTCCATGTTCCAAAAAGCTGTGACCGAGTACTCTTTCCTTCTTAAGATATACACTTTAGTGGGTGATTTCATCCAATCCCAGGGCTAAATTATATACTGACAGATTTCAAACTAAAGCTATGTCTGAACACCTACGTTCTGATCTTCAGAACTTCTCGATATTTCTCAGGCACGTCAAATTCTACAAAATCTATACGAATTCTGTAAAATCTGAACTGAAGATCATCTCACACACATCTGTTTCTTGTATTTCAAATAATGTCACCAACATCCTCCTGTTGAGTTGTGCAAGCCAGAAACCTGGCATTTATTCTTTATTCCTTCCTCTCCTAAATTATTCCAAGCATACACAAATATACTCCCATTTATTTCAGTTCTCACAAAAAAATGATGAAATTATTATAATCATTTTGCCTCTTTTAAGAGATTGTTAAATGAAATTTGGAAACATACTTAGGACAACATGTAACAGGATGAAAAAAATACCCTGAAAGACTTTCTTAACTGACCCACTATTGACTTTTTGGGCCCTACAATGACTTGCTGTGTGGGGCTATCCTGGGCACTGTAGGATATTTAGAAGCATCCCTGGCATTTACCCACCAAATGCCATTAAAACCCTCTAATAATGGCAGCCAAAAATGTCCCCTGGGGCTCAAACCCCCCCTACACCTGTTGAGAACCACTGCTACCTCATCACAGAAATATAACTTTGCTTACATTAATTCATTATACTTATTTGGTTAAAAAAATAAGAATATTATTTATCTCTGTCAGGAAGAACATCTATGGTGTACTTTAACTCACCACACATCATTCAGCATGTGATCTTCCCTCATAAGAACAGTCTCCTACCAATGCTTAACTTTCTCACCCTGAGGAATGAGACCTATGTACTTAGCAATATAGTAAATTCCCTTTTCACAATATTAATATACATATTAATATGTTTTTGTGTCTGTAAACACACACTAACCTAATGTAAAATTGCATGATAGGCAAAAGAAATCATTAGTTATAATTATTTGAGAATTAATTTGGATTCTTCTTCCTACCACCATAAGATTCTGAATGACTAAATAAAAGGTTAGACAGAGTTACTAGAAATCAAAATCTGAGCTTGAAACAGAAGTTTCTCTATATCCTGGCTTGCTTCCTCTGACACCCAAGCATCATTCAGTTCTATTGAGGAAGAAAATTTAAATCATTATTTTTTTAAGTTTAGGATATTTCTTTTACATTATCTTACTCTTGTAATTTCAGAATCCTAGAAGTTGAAAATTACTGTTTACAATTAATCTGAAATTCTAAAATCAAAATTATGCCCAGTTCATTATTCTGTATAATACCTAGCATTATACACCCATAAATAATATAGTGGTCCTAGAGATAAATGATGGTAGCTTAAATTAAGATTGCAAGAATAAGGATAAGAAATTTAGATAGAGTTTGAAATATATTTTGGTATTAATACTTAGGGATTGGGCAAGTGACTGTGGGATAAGTAAAAGGCTATTTAATTAAAAAGATGTGAGGGTATTGGGATGCCTGGGTGGCTCGGCGGTTGAGCATCTGCCTTTGGCTCTGGGCGGGATCCCAGAGGTCCGGGATGGAGTCCCACATCGGGTTTCCTGCATGGAGCCTGCTTCTTTCTCCCTTTGTCTGTATCTCTGCCTCTCTCTCTCTCTCTCTCTCTCTCTCTCTCTTTCTCTCTCTCCCTCTCTCTGTGTCTCTCATGAGTAAATAAATAAAATCTTAAAAAAAGATGTGAGGGTGTAGCGGGATTTTTGTTGCTGTTGCTGGAGTTTTGTTTTTTGAAGCAGAGGTTAGAATCAAAGATTCGATTTTATATTTGTATAATGTGAGATATCTGAAAGAGATCCAATGGAGGGGGTTTAGTCAGATGATTATAGACCTCAAAATGAGATCTGGGATAGATATATAAAACTGAAAGTTGTGGGAATATGGTTAGTAATATAAAATCATAGAAATGGAAGACATCACCTAACATCAGAGTACGGAGTTGGAAAGAGTTCGAGAATGGGCCATCAGGACAGCCAATTTTTACAAGCTGAGTAGAGGGGGAAAAAAGCAAGCAGAGAAGACTGAAAATAATGGTCAAGAGAAAGCACAATAACCATATAAAGAATGTTTAAAGCAGTGACAGGAAAAAAAATCAATATTACCTCAGCTACGAGGTAAAAGCAATCATAATCCTATTCCTGATTTGTTGTATCAGCAGACAAGCTCATTGTTGGTCTGATGCATAACCATAGCCCCAAACAAAAATAAAATGACTGTACAATTTATTTCTGGACAATCCAGAAAAAGCCAAAATATCAGTATTAATAACAGTGACTTTAGTAAAATAACTTAAATACTATGACACATTATATTAATGACTTACATGTTATTGTGTGAGGCTTTATGTTCTTTCCCCTCTAAATAAAAGATTATTTAGTAAATTACCAAGTAATATTATAAGTTCCCTTAAGGAATTTAATTAATTCGCAATAATAAACTGTTTTCTGGATGACCTAATATATTTACTTAGTAAACATCACTTAAAATTACAATTAATTGGGCAGCCCGGGTGGCTCAGCGGTTTAGTGCTGCCTTCAGCCCAGGGCCTGATCCTGGAGACCTGGGATCAAGTCCCACATCAGGCTCCCTGCATGGAGCCTGCTTCTCCCTCTGACTGTGTCTCTGCCTCTCTCTCTCTGTGTCTCTCATGAATAAATAAATAAAATATTTTCTTTAAAAAGTACAATTATATTCTAATTTAATTGAGTAAAATCAAATAAAGCATAATAAACTCAAAATTAAAACTCAAGCTATTATAAAGCCCTTGATTAAGGAAAGTTTGTTCTAGGGTTTTTCAGATTTTAAATCTGTATAAATATCCTTTCTAAGAATTGGGTAAACAGAATAACAATGCCAAAAGAAAAATACAACCATGGAAAGAAAGAAAGGGAATAACACAGAACAACATGTATCTTAATTTCTTGAAGTGTCTCACATTAACAACATCTAATATTTTCCTTCAAAAAAAGTGAAAATTAACTTCTATATAGATATAATTGAAACAAAATAAACTTTTAAATATTTATCTTGTGATGTACAATTAAACCATAAAGGAATTTTTATAATATTAAAAATCATGTAATTAATATGTTCACTAGGGTAACTAGAATAATTTGGTAACAAACATTCTCAAGAAAAACATGCAAAAAAAAAAGAAAAGAAAAACATGCAAAATTGGTACTGTATTTAATACAGTTCCATCTAAAGATGAGAAAACAAACTGTTAATTTATTCCTTATTGGAGCATTCATTTCACAACAGTCTTAAAGCCTGTCTTCTCTGGGGACAAGTAGGACTTGGGAAAAGACAATTATAAAGATGTTTCTTCACCTTTCCCACACAGACACACCCACAAAAAAAGAAAACTAAAATTTGTTGCTTATCTTTCTTGAAGTGAGTTGAATGGTGGCCCTCAAAGATATCAGGTCCTAATTACATGAATGTTGGTTTATACTGTAAAACTGTACAAATATAACTAAAAATGTTGCACTGAGGAGATTATCCTGGATGACCCAGGTGGGCCCTAACTGCTATCACATGTATCCTTACAAGAGGAAGTCAGGGGGAGATTAGACAGATGCCCTGAGAAAGCCATGGTGAAGAGGAAGGAGACACTGGAGTGTGATGTAGCCAAGAATGCCAGTAGTCACAAGAGGCAAGGAAAGAATTCTCCTGTAGAGACTCTGTAGGGCAAACAGCACTGCTGAAACTTGATTTTAGCTCCATAAGACTCCTTTCATATTCTGTCTCCAGAACTATAAAAAAAAATGAACTGTTGTTTTAAACCACCAAGTTTGTGGTAATTTGTTACAGCAGACACAGGAAACTAACACACTTCTCATAAAAATAGTTTATCAGAATTAACGAGAGAATGCCTGCA